AGTTGAGTGTAACACTTGCAAAGTGTGTAGAAAACACCCAGGGACCAGATTCATTGAAACAGGCCGCCCTCGGTGGGCCATGCATGCACCGCCCACACTTGCCACGCAAGGGATGCAGCAAAGCTGCCACCTCTGGCAAGATTCCTCTGTGCTGGCAGCATCTAATGATGTTGCCAGCGTCGTTTTGCTGCCAGTAGCGCATGGCAGCTTCCAGAAGGCTGCCAGCAGCATGTTGGCAGCAACAGGGCTGTCCTCTACGAGGACATTCCTCGTAGAGGAGCGGCTCGGCACCTGTGGTTGGGGCACTCTGGCAGGGGAGGGGTAGTCGGGCTTTCTCTTCATTTGGTGCTCATGGGGTTGTTGAGTTCTCACCTCAACCTTGCTCTCGGCAGGCTCTCTAACCATGCGCAGCAAGGTACCCCTAGGCAAGTCCTCACCTCGTCCTCACGTCCATGTGAATAACTACGGGCGAATCAACTCGCCGGCGATGACATCCGCGTAGCCATGGCCAAGAACGCGAGCAAGGCGGGAAGTCCTACCGCCGCCTCCGGTGCGATGCTGTGACGGGGACGACCAAGACGAAGCACAAGGCGACGACGCGGCGGGAGGATTGGCCGGAGAACGGCCACGATGGCAGCGCTTCGGGCGACGAATTAGGCCCCGCCGACATTGAGGAGGACGAATGGTGGAATCAGCCGGTCGGGAGCGACGACGAGGTTGAAGAGTGGCGGGCTGGTGATTCCGACGGAGACGGAGGGAAGATGCTGGCGGGGACACGCGGAGGCACAGGACGCGGCGGGTGGCAGCCGACGAGGCCGAGGCGGAACGCGAGACAGCGGCGCCTACGGATGCGGACGCGGTGGCGGAGGCGCAAAAGGTGGCTGCTGATGCCGTCTTATTTGACGGCGACGGCACCAACGACGACCCATGGAGCCTTGCTTCGGACGACGACGTGCCGCTATTGAAGCGGAGGCTGCGCTATCGCATGCAGTCCACGACGAAGCGCGTACGCGTGGTGCCTTTGGACGACGACAGTGCCGGGGAGGAGTCGCCCCCTGCCCCCGCTGCGGGAGAAGAAAGAAAGAAAGGCTAAGGTCGTGGAAGCCCCTGCCAAGTCCCCTGCTAAGGCCCCTGCAAAGGCCCCTGCTCGTCGCCGCACAAGCAACAAGAAGCGCAAGGACGACGGTGACCCTGGATCCAGCAAGGGCGCGGCTCGGAAAAAGGCGAAGAAGGCGCCCAATCCTGACGACATCATCGTCAACGAGGCGTTGGGCAGCGACGATGAGTACCCGATTCCCACGTTCCCTAAAAAGGAGGCGCCGAAGGACCCCACCCTCTCTAATCCCAACGCCCGCCCACCTTCCCCTCGCAGCAAAGACACCACGAAGACGAAGAAGCGTCGCGGCTGGACCGTGCGTGAGAAGCTCAAGTGGGCGCGCCGCTATAAGGAACTCGGCTCCCTGAAGAAAACGAGCGCGGAGTCCACCGCGAGCGTCGCCTGCATCAGACGCTGGAGCGCGGAAGCGGCTGCGGGCATGTACAAGGGCGCGGCTAACTGCCGCAAGCGGATGCACGGGGGGGGGGGCGCCACGCACACTACCCCGACATGGAGGCAGCGTTTGTACCGCTACATCTGCCTTCAACGCGCTAACGGGGTGGCCATCTCGGTGAAGGACACCCAGAAGTGGAGCCGCGAGTGGATGAAGAAGCACTACCCAGGCAAGAACTGGAACGCGAGCTCTCACTGGAGCCAGCGGTTCCGTGACCGCTGGAACCTGGTGATGCGGGTGAAAACGAAGGTCGGACAACGTCTATCGGCAGGTGCGTGGATTAGGAGTCTAACCATGACCCGCGGACGGCCCGTTGTATGCATGTCTTCCCCTGCTCGCTGTCTAACCGCCCTCCCACGCTTACCTTCCTGTCCCGTTTGCAGAGTGCGCAAAGGACTGTGAGTCCTTCTGGAAGTTCGTGCGCATCAACAGGGCGCGGCACAACATCGACCTGGCCCGCATCATCAACGCGGACCAGATGCCACTCTTCGTGGAGATGCCGGCCGAGAGGACGATCGAGCACCGTGGCGCGCGCTCGGTCCCAATCCGCACTGCAGGCTACCAGAAGACCCGCTTGACGGTAATGCTAGCGTGCACCGCATCCGGGGAGAAGCTGCGGCTGTGGGTGTGGTTCAAGATGAAGAACGTCCCCAACTGTGAGATTCCGGACGGTAAGCGCCGTGAATTTTACCCTGCACTTGCCGTGCGAGCGTTCCCCACTGTGCTGATGCACTTCTGTCCCTTGTGTGCCTGGCAGGAATCGTGGTCCAAGCACAGGACAACGGGTGGATGGACGAGAGCGCTGTGCAGACCTGGCTGTCGAAGGAGGTGCTGCCCCATCTGAACCCGGAGCGCGGCAAGAGCGCAAGGCGTGCGATGCTGGTGTTGGACTCCTACCGCGGCCACATCACCCAGACCATGCTTCAGTCGTACCGCACGCACAGCATCACCCCTGCCGTCATTCCAGCGGGTTGTACGAGCCAGATTCAACCCCTGGACGTCTCCATCAACCGGTGCTTCAAGGCTGCCGTGCGAGCGCGCTACGCTCGGTGGTTCATGCGCGAAGGGATCCACCTGAAGACGAAGAAGGGTGAGTAGGCGGTTCATTTCCCATTCCTGTTCTGTGTCGTGTCCTTGTCTTTAACTGTGCGATGCTGTGTCCTCTGTCCCACCCGCCAGGGAACTTGCGGAGGCCTCCGCACCCCGTGGTGCTGCAGTGGATCGCGGAGGCTTGGGAGCAAGTCCCAAGGCAGATCATCATCGACGCGTTCCGCCACTGTGGCATCTCTAGCAAGCTGGACGGAACGGAGAATCACATGGTGATGTCTCACCTGCGCGCCAGGAGCACCACCGATGTCTCCGAGGACATGTCCCTCGGGGGAACCACAGGCGACAACACGCGCCTGCTCGGGAAGGCTCCGGAGGAGGAGGAGGAGGAGGAGGCGATGCAGGCGGAGGGCGTGCGGGAGGTGGCCGTGGCAACTGGCCTGGAGGTGCTGTACCAGGAGACCCCCAACTACCGCGGAGCGGCGGCCGAGGCTGACCGCATGATCGAGCCTAGGGAGACGGCTAGGCATGCCTGGCGAGTGCCAGACCTTAGTGTGGAGCCTGTAGCTAGTGCTCCCGAGGAGGCGGTGACCGAGGGGGGTTAGGTAGAAGTAGAGATTCATGCATGTATCGATGTACCCCCCCAAAGTAAGAAAGGTTCGTTTAGAAGACACCCCCTCTTTATAAGCAAACCCCTAAACCCCTGTTCTGATTATAAGACATATATGTCTTATCTCGTACACACAAATAGGTGTCGTATAAAAAGGCTATCCCGTTTATAAGAGACACCCGTATTGTAGACACCCCTTGTCTACTATTCAACACTGTCTTATATCCGGGCGATGACGGTAGCGTTGTTCATCATTTTTTTACCTTACCACCATTAGATTGCATTCTGCTTGGTTATTGTAATATTCTCCTCATTTGACTTACTTTCTTTTCAATTTTCTCCACATTTTGATAATTCTTTTCTTCTCTCCCCTCTTCCTTCTTTCCCTCTCCTTCATTCGGTGCCTATTTGTTTTTCCAGATTTCCTTCTGGCTTTCGTTCCAGATGTGTACATCTGCCAAGATTACTTGTGAAGTGGATAGTAGTGGTAATCTGTAGGATTGTTTTGTATTGCATGTTTTGTTGTTTTTAGAGTTTTTTGCATTTACGGTTTTTTTTTTCCGTTTGTGTGAATGTGTGTGATCTTGTATATGTGTTTGTATGTGTGTGTGTGTCTTTGTGTGTGTGTGTGCTGTGGCTGTGTGCATTCATCCGTATCCATTGCAATAACAACGCACGTCTTTGATCTTTAAAAAGAAATCTCAAATCTATCATTTCACAAAAGGTTCATTGGCGCACTCAGTGACTCGTGTGCGACCACTTCGAACTGGATTTGATAGAGATGATTTTCTTTTTAGATTTCACAGATTGTGTTGTTTCATGTGGTAGTTGATTATTCAAAAGCTAAGCTATTTACCTCCCCCCCATGCTAGGCAGGGGATGGCGGTAGCTTAGTTTTTGGGTTTTTAACTGTCACGCATTTTACCATGTGCATGCGCATCATTCATGATATATCACACGCATTATATAGCATTATTTATGCATTATGCATTGTATAGCATCATTTATGCATCATCAATTTATTATCACACAACACCATTCAACAGTAAAACATATACGGTAATGCAAACAGTACAGCAAATCTGCACTAAACAACTGCAAAAAAATCATATGGTCTAATACACTGTGAACAGTACCGTAGTCAAGACTGCTTAACATGCATACAGTATGGGAAGGGTATTACTGTAGTTTGCAAATTTTATTTTCATGTTTTAACAAAAAATATAAACATGAAAATAAAATTTGGCAAAATCGATCGTAAAGGGTTGCTTCGCAACCCAAAAAAAAAAAAAAAACGGTGCTAACCATCATCCGTTGGATCCTCGTGTACTGTCATGCGTAGGCATTCCGATGCGTACCTTCAGGAAACAAGACGACCCCTTTGAAAACGCAGTGACAGATAGGACAGTTTCCGTCATGTGAGGGCGCTTGCGATCCGCGCTGGCTTGGTGACGTACATGGTGTACCAGCAGTCTTATCTTATCAATTATTGAACGATGCTACTGGATGCCATAGAAACAAGGACCACCACAACCATTTTAGTGCTCCAATAATGCCGGAGCCCATGCTCACATGGATTTTATGCGATCAGCCATCATGGACCTCCTACAAACTGGAGCAGCTATCGAAGTGCCAGCATTGGAGCTGGTATGCATTAGTCCCCTCAACGTCGTCAAGCAGCAAGACAAGTGTCGTCTCATCCTAGATTTACGCAAAGTAAATGACAAGCTATGCATTCTGAAGTTCAAGTACGAAGGACTAATTCGTTTGGCGGAACTTGCACATCCAGGGGACTTAATATTTTCAATTGATCTCAAGTCATGTTACCACCACGTTGACATCCACACATCCTGTTGGAAATTCTTAGGTTTTGAGTTTGAAGGGCATTCGTACTGTTTCAGATCACTCCCATTCAGACTAGCGATGGCGCCTTTCATCTTCACTCAATTGATCAAACAATTGGCACGTTGATGGCGAGCAAAAGGGGTCCGAGTCATTCTATATGTGGATGACATCCTCTTTCTGTGCCATACAAAAGCTTAGGCTCGAGACTTCTGCACTCGCAAGGTCACAGACCTAAGAGAAGCGGGTCTCGTGATCAACGCAAAAAAGTCTCATCTCCATCCGACTCAGCAGCTACGATTCCTAGGATTGGAGCTCGATACCCAGCGTGGACAATTTCCTATCGGCATCGAGCGACGGAGTGTTCTGCAATCAACCATTGCTTCATTATTGGAGCAGGACGTACACAGCACAAAGTCCCTGTATGGCACGTCGCACGTGTCACAGGCATGCTTGCCTCCATGACGCTTGCCCTTGGGGCGACAGCGCGAGCATTCAATCATGCCTTACTACAAACCACCAACGACGCCTCGTCATGGAACAGCAGGGTGTCGCTGTCCCCGAGTGCTTGCGAAGAGTTGGAGTTCTGGTCAATCGAGTTGGACCACTTCAATGGTGCCCCATTTCATGTTCGCGGTAGCTACGATGCAATCATCCCATATTGATGCGAGTGCGCACAGCTGGGGGGCCACACTCGACACATTCTCCACGAGCACTCATCTGCTAGATTCATCGGGCCAATGGCGACTTTCGAGCTAGCGCAAGGTGAAGTTCCACAGCAGCCACAGCCTAGGGACTGTGGTCAGCCAGAACGGCAGCAACGAATTAGCATCACTGATGCTCCTGTTTCAAGAATCTCCGACGACCTGCTAGGAACCATTCTTCTCCTCGTCGCATCTAAGGGCACCGAATTCGATACCCACGACTCTCCCAGTAACGAGCCCATTTTGCAAAGCAGGATCGAGCAAGCATTGAATGAGCACCTGCCAAGCGAAAGCATCTTGTTCGGGTTACCCGAAGCTCCTGTCGCCACAGCCTCATCGCTCACTGCCTTTCGACACGCTTTGGTCTGCAAGCGATGGCTGCGCGTAGCCAGATCTGTTCATCCCGCCATCGTCGTGCCTCGAAACCGCTTCTTCTCCGCACGAACTCTCACGTCGCTCCTAGACTCACCCACCTCGGGATTCCCGAACCTTCGCCACCTTCATCTCGGCGAATTCGCGACGGATCTACCTCGTGAAACCCATGTGCGACGGATGCGGCTCGTCCCTGACCCATTTCATAATGCACCTGTACGATCGCCAACCGGTGACGTCCGGTAGTAGAACAAGGTATCACTCAGTTTCGAGCACGCAACCTCTCACTAGTAGCCGCGGGAATCAGTCGACCAGCCTTGCATCGATCTCAACCTCAGACGTCGTCGAAATTTTCAATTCCTGCACGCGATTAGTCAATCTAGATCTACGGCTGGGTAAAGGTGTCTGCGAGATCCCACCTTCCATCAGCCGCTTACAGCAGCTCACGCGGCTCGGCATGAGCTTCACTACCGTTACTGGGTTACCAGAAGAGCTGTGCAGCCTGTTAAAACTGAAGCAGTTGCTCATCGTGTCGCAGTCTCTTCGCGAGCTGCCTATTTTGTTCGAGTGTCTCATTTCCCTGGAGCACCTCTCTCTTCGCAATTGTCCTTTAGGTCATCTCCCGAGCGAGTTAAGTCAGCTTAGTAGAATCAAGATCCTCACCCTATCATATCTGGCAACCCTTGCTGCTCTTCCGGAGTCAATCTGTCTGCTGTCGGCGCTCTCCCACCTTTCTCTAGAACACTGCCCCCGATTCGCCAGCCTACCAGAGAATCTTTTCCAGCTGCCCAACATAGATACGTTGCATCTAGACGAATTGTCTGCTCTCACCGCGCTTCCCGATTCGTTCGGTAAGCTGCCGGTTCACAAACTCTTGGAATCTCCAGCCCTCCGGACTCTCACCATTCTCAACTGCCCATGCCTATCCTCACTGCCCGAAGCTATTGGCCAGTTTGCCGCTCTCCATCAGCTTCGTCTGAAGCTTCTTGATCAGCTTATGGCTCTTCCACATTCCTTGGGGTTCCTTACGGCGATGAAGGAGTTGAAAGTGGTTGAGCGCTCTAATCTCGAGAACCTCCCCGAGTCCATATCCGCCATGGGAGCTCTCACAAGCCTCATTCTTGACGGCGGCTATTTTTCCAGCGTGCCCGAAGACATCGGGCAGCTCCAAACCTTGGTTACTGTGAAGCTGTTTTCCATACGCCTTCTTCACCTGCCTGACTCGTTTGGGCAGCTGGGGCAGCTGAAAGAGCTGACCATATACGAGTGCTACGACCTATTCGAGCTTCCTGCATCCTTCACCAACCTCTCTTCACTGGAATCGCTACTTATCTATGGTGGATCCTCGCTCACATACCTGCCTTTGGGTTTTGAGAAGCTGACGAAGCTACGCCGACTAGAGCTGCTAAACTGCGCCATGCTGTACCTGCCTGATGGGTTCGGGGAGCTGCCAAATATGGAGATTCTCAAAATTCAAACTTCGGACACGTACAAAAGAGTCGGCGTTAATTTCGAACCTGCCCCACGGCCCGCTCATCTGGGGTATGAGAGCGAAGGTGAGGAGTTTCAACTGGACGGATCCTGCTCCCTGCGTCGCTTTCCTGGGACTTTCAGCTTGCTCCTAGAGCCTAGAGCAGCTGATCATTGATGGGTGTGAGATGCTGGAGGAGCTGCCAAGGGGTATGGGCAATCTGAGCAGCCTGAGGGTTCTGAAAGTGGAGAATTGCAAGCGGCTGAAGGTCTTTCCGCCCTTTTTGCTTCCTGCTGGGGCTGATGGACAAGCTATAGGATCTTCTGCCGCTGCTGCCACCTCCTCTGCTGCTGCCGCCACCTCCTCTGCTGCTGCCGCCACCTCCTCTGCTGCTGCCGCCACCTCCTCTGCTGCTGCCGCCACCTCCTCTGCTGCTGCTGCCACCTTCTCTGCTGCTGCTGCCTCCTCTGCTGCCATCCCCCCTCCGCTGCCACAGCTTGAAGAACTAGTAATCTCTCTCTGCCCGAAACTAACGAACCTTCCAGAAGGCCTTCATCTGCTGCCTAGGCTGAATCACTTCATGCTTGAAGACTGCACCAGCTCAAAATTCGCCAACCGTAGCACCACCTCCCCTTCATTGCCCCCGCAAGTAGCACCTATCGCCCTTCCGCGCTCTGTAGAGACAATAATCCTCTCAAGCGTCTTCAAGTCAGCCCAGTACCTCCCAGAATCCTTCCTTTCCCTCAACCGCCTTCTTCACTTGAACCTGTATGACCTCCCATCCCTGAAGCAGCTTATAGCCCCGCAAGCCATCGCGCAAACCCCAGCCAAACGAAGCTGAAGAGGAGGCTATACCTCACACTCCTCTGCCTGAGCTTCCCAGGATGCCTGGATCGATAGTGCATGCGGGGTTGGGGCGCCTGTCGTCTCTGGTTCACCTTCACATTGTCAACACCAACCTCCCCTCGCTTCCGGAAAACCTAGGCGATCTGAGGGAGCTGGCGGTGCTGCTGCTAGAGAAGTGTCATGCCATGACGTCCCTCCCCTCCTCCATGGTTACCCTTCCGAAACTGCAACAGATCGATCTCAAGTCCCTTCCTCTGCTGACTCACCTGCCTGAGAATCTCGGGCAGTTGGAGGCCCTGAATGAGTTGGGTTTGGATTCATGTAAAAGCTTGGAGAGCCTTCCATCTTCCTTCACTCTTCTCTCCTCCCTCATAATGCTCAGCATCATCAACTGTCCTAAGATCACCTGTCTTCCGGATTCCCTCTCCTCCTTCACCCGCCTTTCGTCTCTGAAACTCAATCGTCTGCCCAAGTTACGTGTTCTCCCTTATCCAATTTCCCTCCCATCACTTGTCCAATTCTCGCTGCGAGGATGCAAGGCTCTCAGGGCTCTGCCCAGCGACTTGGGCAGTTTGTCCTGTCTGAGGGAGGTGGATCTGGACGGGTGTGTGCAGCTGAAGGAGCTGCCACAATCGCTGGTGGATAGAGTGAATGTGATTCAAGTGAAGGGTTCTTGGGGAAAGAGCTGCTACTAATATGGGAGGTGCTGTGGTAGAAGGATAATGCATGGAGGGTAGTAATAGTGGAGCAGGATTGGCTTCGAAGCTGGGATTCTATTAGCATCAGTATTGGCATTAATACCACAGCTTCTTACCGGTATCAGCAAGGAGGTGTCGCACGCGCGGCCTTAGTCCGCTAGCAAATTTTGCTGTTACGGTATGCCATATGAGTCGGCCGTCGTTTTGTGCACGAACTAAGTCAGCTCGCTTGAATACACATGTGGCATGGCAGCAGCAAATGGATCGTGCAGGCTGGCCAATAAGTATTGAGAGAGCTAGGCAGGTGATCCTGCATTTTATTATGCTTCCTTTGAGGCCCTCATAATTCAGCTTAAGATATCTGATTTAGGTATTGTCTTATTTTTTAGAATTTTACCATTGTTGATTAGTGCCCTCGCTTCACCACTCAGAACCGCTCGTTACCGACTCGCCTGAACTCCACTGTTGCGATTTTCACAACCATCCTTCTCCATCCTTGATCTCTTGAGGTATTCGGTCAAGGTGGCCCAGACCTGGCTTTCAGAAATCTATTAGCTATGACGTAATACAGTACCCACACACCACGACATGACGTGTGCTGATTACTTCTCGCTGTTCTCTGATGACCTGCTTGGTTTGGTCCTCATTCTCGCCGCGTCTGCGAAAACCATCAGATTTGACGGCCACGAATCTAAAGATAGTAACGAGGACATTCTGCGAAAGGCAATCGACAATGCATTGTACGAGCGTCTGCCGCATGAAAGTGCGTGGGTTGGTACCACGCGCGATGCACGTGTGGTTACCGCTTCTTCGCTCGTCTCCTTCGCCACGCTCTGGTTTGCAAGCGATGGCTGCGCGTCGCCAGATCCGTGCATCCCGCCATCCTCGTGCCTTATGATCGCTTCTTTTCCTCCCAAACTCTCGCGTCGCTCCTCACCTCACACACCTCGGGATTCCCGAACCTTCGCCACCTGCACCTCGGCGAATTCGCGACGGACGTCGTAGATCGCCACCTCGTGCGATCCATCTGCGACGGATGCGGGTCCTCCTTGACGCATCTCACAATGCATCTGTACGATCGACGGCTGGCGACGCCGGTGCCGGAAGGCGAAAGCAGAAGCGCGGCGCGGAACGGCCTCGCGGCGATATCGCAGTCTGATGTCGACCGAATCTTCAGCTCCTGCTCGCGATTGGTCAATTTGGATCTACGGCTGGCAGACGGCGTTTCCACGCTGCCTCCTTCCATCAGCCGCCTGCAGCAGCTCACGCGGCTGAGCACGAAAACCAGCTGCAGCGTAACCTGGTTACCGACGGAACTCGCCTGCTTGCTGCGATTGAAGCGGTTGGAGCTTATGTCGGGGTCTTTTGAAGCATTGCCAGACTGCTTTTGCGATCTGAAGGCTCTAGAGTATTTGGAGATTCAGAGATCCCCTGTGGCCCACCTGCCCGAAGACTTCGGGCAGCTGCAAAACCTGAAGAGCCTCAAGCTCGCGTTCGTAGAAGGTCTGCGTGAGCTGCCCGAATCCTTCTGCGAGCTACCAGCCCTCACGCGGTTCTCTCTCTTGTGCTGCTATGAGTTCGTCAGGCTGCCCGAAAACTTCCATCAGCTCTCAAGGCTAGAAGCTGTAGAAATTTCGAGTTTATCCGTCTTCACTTCATTTCCTGATTCGTTCGGGCAGCTGCCCGCGCTGCAGGAGTTTCGGCTTGAAAACGAATGGAATTGCTCACAGCTCCCAGACTCACTTTGCTCCAACCAAACCCTTCACCATCAACAACTGCGAAAGCCTGACCACCCTGCCTGAAGACTTTGGCCGAATATCCAGTCTTGAGTACCTGAATCTGGAGATGTCCGCGAATTTCAAGGTTATTCCAGACTCTATCTGCCTTCTGTCTCAACTCAAGGAGCTGAATGTGATTGACTGCTGTGAGCTTTCAGCCTTCCCACAGTCTGTCTCCGCTATGGAGTCACTCACAGCAATCGTTCTAAATGGCTGCGACCTTCACGAGCTGCCCAGAGACTTCGGGCAGCTTTTGAACCTGGTCTCGTTGAAGCTGTCCAGTTACAAGCTCGTTACTCTGCCCGACTCGTTCGGGCAGCTGGGGAAGCTGAAAGAACTAGTATTCATGGAATGCAACAGTCTTCTTGAGCTTCCAAACTCTTTTGCCAATCTCTCCTCCTTGGAAACCCTTTTCATCTACGGTGGTCCATCTCTTGTAGACCTCCCTCCTGGTTTTGAAACCCTCCCGAAGCTGCGGACTCTCTACCTCTTCAACTGCGTTTTTGCTAGCCTGCCGGACAGGTTCGGGGACCTGCCGAGCCTGGAGGTGCTCAGGGTCGGGACCAAGGCAACGTACAGCAGGAATAGGATCGAGACGGGCAGCGAATCGGATGACGGACCTGAGCTGGAAGGTACCTGTGCCCTCCACATGCTTCCTCAGTCCCTGGTTCGCCTCACCCAATTGCAGGAGCTGATTTTGGAGGGGTGTGAGATGCTGGAGGAGTTGCCTGCAGGCATGGGGGGGATGGCCAGCCTTAGGAGTGCTCCAGGTGAAGAATTGCCCTCAGCTGCGGCTCTTCCCGTCGCTGCTCTCCCATCCTGCCGTCGCTGCTGCTGCTGCCGCTCCCGCTCTCCCGTTTCCTTCACTGGAGCAGCTGGAGATATCTGATTGTCCCCGCTTGGAAAGCCTACCAGAGGGCCTGCATCTGCTGCCTAGACTGGACCACTTTTCTCTTGAAGACTGCCCCAGCCTAAAGCCCACACACCAGCTCACGCACCACAGCCCCTTGCCACCACACGCAACCTCATCCCCATCCCCACATGGCAACACATTTCTGTCCGCACTGTTCCCACCATCAACCTCCTTTTCCTCTTCTCCACTTGTTGCCCCTATCTCCCTTCCAAGTTCCATCAAAACCGTTATTCTCTCAAACGTATTCCAGTCAGCCCAGTACCTCCCAGCGTCCCTTCTTTCCCTCGCTCAACTCACCCACTTGAACATCTACGACCTTCCATCTCTCCAGCAGCTTATCGCCCCTGCCCTTGTGGCCCAGTCCTCAGCCCACGCCCAAGCCACCCATGATGATCAGTCTGAAAGATTTGATATGGGTTCTGATGTGTCGGCCAGATTCGATCTCCTGTCTTCTCTGCAGCAGCTGAAAGTGCTGCTGCTAGAGGAGTGTCCAGCCGTGACCTCCCTTCCCTCCTCTCTCACAAGCCTCTCCAATCTTCAACAGCTCACACTCAAGTCTCTCCCCTTGCTGACCCACCTGCCCGAAAATATCGGGCAGCTTCAAGCCCTGCGCGATCTGAGTCTAGAGTCCTGCCAAGCTCTTAAAGCCCTGCCGCCGTCCTTCACCCTCCTCTACTCCCTCATGCGTCTCACCATCGTGGACTGCCCTAAACTCACCCACCTCCCGGATCCCATCTCCTCTCTCTCCAGCCTGGCCTCTCTCACACTCACACGCCTCCCCTTCCTCCGCCGCCTCCCCTCCCCGCTCTCCCTCCCGCGTCTCATCAAGCTCTCCCTGCAAGGGTGCAAGCGCATGAGGGCCCTGCCCCGCGACTTGGGCAGTTTGTCCTGTCTGAGGGAGGTGGATCTGGACGGGTGTATGCAGCTGAAGGTTACTGGTGGATCGGATGAATGTGATTATAGTGAAGGTTTCGTGGGGAAAGTGCTGCTAATGGGGTGGTGGTGCTGTTTTGGAGAGAGGGATAATGCATGGAGGATGGCTCTAGTGGAGCAGGATTGGTTTTGATGCTGGGATCCTATAACGGTGTTGTTAGTACCGTATCAGCATTTACAAACCCTAATCAGCAGTGAGGTGTTGCATGGCCCGCTGGCAAATTCCGTTATGTCCTGTAGAATACGGTACATCAGAAACCCAGGTGTTATGATTCTGTGCATGCATAGAGCTGTTAGCACACAGAAATACATGTGGTGCTTTGTACTTCAGAATTTTTGTACGCTGCAATCGGGTCAATACAAACGCTGATTCCTCGTGCCTACCCTTTCACTCGCACAAGGGTCATTCCAGCTTGATCTCACATGCACTTTTTGCCACGTCATATCATATCCATCCATGTGCACCCCGAGTTGAGTATAGCTTATTTTCAGAGAGGTGAGCGGCGGTTCAAAGCGGTGGATTGCACGTCCATTGGCCAAACACGCGACGCGATCTGCTAAGTCGGCGCTACCCACGCTAGTTCGTGTGTGCGGGTTTAATGTGCTGCAATGGCAGCTGCAGTGCGATCGTGCAGCCATCTGCCGTGCGCTCCGGCCCTTGGGAATGACGCGCACGAAACGCGTCGCTTTGGCCATGCCGGCTTTCAGGGTACGAAGATTGGCGGGAGCCGCACAATGTACTCATATGTCAAATGCGCGTATCGAACTGCCCAAATTGACTCAATAGCGGGGAAAGAGAGAATATCAGCCGCTGGTCGACCATTTCGAGTCGTCACCCCGAGACTAGCAGCAGCAATACCGTCAATTGCGGGAAAGTCGCGATTGGCGGAGACAACGCGATCCGCTGCTCCTGGCGCGCGAGTCAAAGCCCACGCCTTGGCATGGGGGAGCGGAGGCGGCGGGGGGGGAATTGGCGGCAATGACGGAAGGGGGAGAGGGGACGGAGGAGGAAGAGGGGGAGATGGAGGCGGAGAAGGTGGGGGAGGCAGAGGAGAGGATAGCGGAGACGACGGAGATTGCGGAGGGCAAGGTGGTAACCAGCAGGAATATGGTTACTTGTTCCTATTAAAGCTGCTTTCTGATTGGTTCAACTTCCGTTTCGACGGCCTCCCTTCTCTATTCCACAACCGCCTAGGCAGATTCCCCAGCGCCTTATCAATCTCCGCGTTTCTCCTTATTATGCTTCCGTTGCTCCTCTCCCCGCTCGCGCGCGCGGAATCCGCGCTTCTCCGCCGCCCTGCGCATCCCCCTGCGGCCGGCGCGCCCGCCAGAGATCAGGAGGTGATATGGGAGCTGCATGGTGACAGGTGGCGGCGCCTGATTGGCGGAGACAGCAGCAGCAGCGCAAGCAGCAATGGGGGAAAGGGCCAGCTAGTGGTGGAAGTTGAAGTGGAAGGCGAGGAAGCTGCTAACGCGTACGAGGAGGAGCACGGACGCGTTGTAAAGGGGATCGTTACAAGCACGGGGAATGGCAATGGGAAGGGAGCAGGGGACAGGGCTTTATTGGGGGAGGAGGATGAGCGGAGCAGTGGGGGAGACATGGTTGTGCGGGTGGTGAGGGGAGTGAAAGCGGCGGTGGTTCGATGGATGTTACCAGAGGGTTATCCCGATAGTGTGACTCCTGACTATATGGAGTACACAGTGTGGCGCATGCGACAAACCGTGGCGAGCGAAATGAACCACGTGCTTACAACGCAGGCGAGTGGAGTTATCTTTCTATTCTAGGCGAAGTGAAGTGGCTTGCTTTATTTGTGAACCTTCTTCTTCCCTGCCCTCCTCGTTCTCCTCTCCTCCCCCCATCCCCACTCTCCCTTCTAGGTGCTGGTGGGCGGGCTGGGCTATGCAGCCAATGTCTCTCGGCACTTCAATGATTCAATCTGACGCGCTTTCCCCCCACTCTCTCCCTCTCTTCCCTCCCTCTCCTCTCTCCTCTCCAGGCAATGCTGTACGCGGTGGGGTTGGGAAAGGGCGCCATCCCAGCAGCAGCGGCAGTGAATTGGGTGCTGAAAGACGGCCTGGGCTACGCTGCAAAAGTCACGCTCTCCCAGTTCAACCCCTTCCCTGCACTCCCTCTCCCACTCCCTCTTTCCCCTGCAGGCAATGCTGTATGCAGTCGGACTTGGAAAAGGCGCCATCCCAGCAGCAGCGGCAGTCAACTGGGTGCTAAAAGACGGCCTGGGCTACGCAGCCAAGGTCACGCTGTCCCAGTTTGGCCGCCATTTCGACGTCTCCCCCAAGCGCTCGCGCCTGCTCTCCGACCTCGTGGAGAATCTCTCTGCTTCCCTCGAGCTCCTCACAGCCACCTTCCCGCAGTACTTCGTCCAGCTCGCTGCTGCTGCTGGTGCGGGGTTCTCCGCGTCAAGCCTCGTGCAAAGTGCGACAAGGAACAGATTCTACGCTGGCCTGGCAGGCAGGAGAAACTTCGCTGAGGTGAGATTTCCCTACCTCCTCTCTGCTTCCCTCGAGATCCTCACAGCCACCTTCCCACAGTAGTTCGTTCAGCTCGCTGCTGCTGCTGGAGCAGGTTTTTCAGCTTCAAGCCTCGTGCAGAGCGCCACGAGGAACCGGTTCTACGCTGGATTGGCAGGCAGGAGAAATTTCGCCGAGGTGAGACAGTGCTTTGCTTTGGCCAGGTGAGAGAGCCAACTCGGGCAGGTGAGACGTGAGAGGGTCTACGCAGGTGAGGTGAGGGGGCATGTGGGGAAACATTCCCTCCCTCCCTCAAGTTCCTCACAGCCACGCCATCTTCCCCCAGTACTTCGTCCAGCTTGCCTCTGCTGCTGGTGTGAGGTTCTCTGCTTCCAGTCTCGAGCAGAGCGCCATACGGAACCAGTTTACGCTGGGCTGACGGGCAGAAGAAACTTTGCCGAGGTGAGATACTGTCCTGTTTAGGCAGGTGAGAGCCGGTGCAGGCAGGTTCGAGAGCTTGAGTGGCGGTTGAGGCGTCTTTCTGCTAAAATGGGACGTCTCAAGCGCTGGTGGGACCAGGCCAGGAGAGGGAACGGTTGGAACCTCCTAGGCTCATAGCTAGAAGGGCAGCGGCGTTAGAGGAAAACACTTAAGCAGCAGGAACAACGGGTTTTTTTTTTTTTTTTTTTTTTTTTTTTTTTTTTTTTTGGGACGTCTCAAGCGCTGGTGGGGCCAGGCCAGGAGAGTGTTTTCGAGAATTCTCAAATACACCCTTCAGCATCAACCTCCTCCATCCCTCTCTAGAGCTCCTCACGCCTGCCTTCCGAATGCTTCATCCAGCTGGCTAATGGAGTGGGGATGGGGTTCTCTATCGCCCCACACTGGGACTGCTCATCGCATGAAGCTGGCCCTCTGCTCATGGGACCTCACTCACTCTCTCTCATCCTCTCGCTTCACGTTTTAGCACGCGCAGAAGCACAAGGCATGGTGAGCAAGACGCTCGGCATGGCTCTGGGCATGGCCATTCCTCCCCACGTGGGCACGACACGAGAGGCGTTTGCTGTGCCTTCACTTCACTCTCCGAGTTGGTTCCACTCCACTCTGACTTCCTCCCCCTTTAGGTGCTAGCGCACGCAGAGGCACAGGGCGTGGTGAGCAAGACATTGGGGATGGCTTTAGGCATTGCCATCGCCCCACACGCAGGCACCAGTGGGGCTCTGCTGTGGCTGACTCACGCCCTGCCTGCTGTCCGAACCATTCATGTGATTTCACTTTCACTGACTGTCCCTCCTCTTCCTCTCCCCTCCAGGTACTGGCACGGGCAGAGGCACAGGGCATGGCGAGCAAGACGCTAGGCATGGCGTTAGGAATCGCCATCGCTCCACATGTGGGCACGAGGGGGCCTCTCCTCTGGGTGACGCACGCCCTGCTGTCCGCCACGCACCTGTTCTGCAACTACCGCTCGTACAAGGCTGTGCAACTCAGAACACTCAACCGTTTTAGAGCAGGTGAGAGGCAGGTGGTGAGCACTGGTGGTGGTGGTGTGTGGAGGTAAGTACTCACGCCCTGCTGTCCGCCACGCTCCTGTTCTGCAACTACCGCTCGTACAAGGCCGTGCAGCTGAGAACGCTGAACCCTTTTAGAGCAGGTGAGAGGCAGGAGAGCAAAGGTGGTGGCGGGGCTGGGCAGGTAGGTATCATGCAGGCCGTGGGCACAAGGTAACCAGCCCAGAGGACCAGCTCACGTGTAGCGAGGGTGTTTTTGAGACGTCTCAAAAACACCCTCGCTACACGCAGCCCAGAGGACCAGCTCAGAGGACCAGATCAGATACGGCTTCCAAGGTGTTTGAAGGACTACAAGGCTAGGAGGAGAGCATATCTGAGGGACCAGGAGACCAGAAGAGCAGACCATGTGGGGCCCCTTTGCTATGTGGCCGATTTCGAGAAGCAGATAATCAGAAGCCACATAATCGGCCAATTCTGTGGATTCAGAAGCAGATAGTCACTTCCAGAGCAGATATGATCGTGTCTATGTCTCGACCCATAGCCACTCTACTCCACCATGTCTCCTCTCCTTCACCTGTGTCCTTCTGAGCAGCTTCCTCCACGTCCTGCCATCTTTGCTCCCTCCTGTGCTCTCCTCTCTTCTACCCCCTGTTCTTTCCCCAGATATTGTCCTGGCAGAGTTCGTGACCAATGGCAAGGTGCCAGGTGTCATTGAAGTCAACTCACAGGAGCCCATTCTACCGCCCCTTAAATCGATATTTTCGCCCAAGGTACCTCTGTTTTGGTGAGGTGCATGTGGTGTGTGTGTGGTGCATGTGCGGTGCATGTGCGGTGCATGTACGCACGTGTGTGTGTGCATGTGTGGTGCATGTGTGTGCTTGTATATTGCATGCGTGGTGCATGTGCGGTGCATGTGTGGTGTATGTGCGGTGCATGTGTGGTGCATGTATGGTGCATGTGTGGTGTGTGGTGCATGTGCGTTACAAGTGCCACGTGGCAGCAATGTCTCACACAGAGAGATCTCATCCCTCGCATTTCCCCTCCTTTCCCCTCCTTTCCCCTCTTTTCCCCTTGCAGTCATCCCCTCCTCCCCTCCCCGGCACTGGCAGCGAGAACTGGATTGAGTTCGGGGTACCCCTAGCAGCAGTGGCGCACACAGAGCGGGAGGCGGAGACAATGGCAGAGATATTCCGAGGGGAGAAGTACCTATTGGGAAGGGACGAGAGAACTGGACAAATGCAGGTGCGTGCCTGCCATGTGTGTGTGCGATGAAAGGTGTGAAATGGGAAATGGGGTGAGAACAAGGGCGAATGCGAGTGGCGCACACAGAGCGGGAGGCGGAGTTATTTCAAGGAGAGAAGTACCTGCTTCGACGGGACAAACGAACGGGGCAGATGCAGGTGGGTTCTGTGAGCGTGCTGTGTGGGTATGTGTGCGTGCTGTGTGGGTATGTGTGCGTGTGTGCGTGTGGGTGGGTGGGTGGGTGGGTGGGTGGGTGGTTGGGTGGGTGAGAATTGGGGGAGAAAGAACATGGGTTGGTGTGGAAGAGCGGAAGGCAGAGGGAATGGCGGAGATATTCCGAGGAGAGAAGTACCTGCTTGGATGGAACTAGCGAACGGGGCAGATGTAGGTGGGTGAGTGCTCTTTCTGTGTGCGTGCAGGGGTGGGTGGGTGGGGACTGGGGGGAGAACAAGGGAATGTTTGTGGGCATGATAAGGAAGAGCGGGAGGCAGAGGTGATGGCCGAGCAGCCCCTCGGGAGATTCTCAGAGCGGCCCTGCAAGCCGCCTACCTCCGCACTCTCTCTCCACACTCCCTCTGCGCCACTGCAAGTTGCCTGCGCCTAAATGCTCTCCTCTTCCCATCGCTGCCATTCCATTCCCTCTCAACCCTGCGAAACTGTCACAAACCTATCAGGTTGTGTTGAAAGAGGGGGCTCTCCCTCGGGACTTCCTCAGAGCGGCCCTGCAAGCCGCCTACCTCCACACTCTCTCCCCACACTCCCTCTGCCCCACCATTCACTCTCTCGCACCCCAAGCACACACCCACGTGCAAGCCCGCGCAGCCGAACTCGCCTCGTTCGGGAAGCTGGAGGTGCTGCATTCTTCCTCTCACATGCATTCCTTCTCACCCTTCTAAACCCCCTGCCTCTCACTCACCCACCCACCATCCATCCAGGTTGTGTTGAAAGAGGGGGCTCTCCCTCGGGACTTCCTCAGAGCGGCCCTGCAAGCCGCCTACCTCCGCACGCTCTCTCCACACTCCCTCTGCCCCACCATCCACTCTCTCGCACCCCAAGCGCGCACTCACGTCCAAGCCCGCGCAGCTGAGTTCGCCTCGTTCGGGAAGCTGGAGGTGCTGCATTCATCGTATGACCGCATGGCTGCGGGGTTTGATGGGCTGTGTGAGGCGCTGAGGGCGAGTGGGTGGCGCTGCGATGATGGCTTGTTAGCCCGTCCAGGGGACTGGCGTTTGCTGGTGGATTCAGTGGATAAGAGGAACTGAGGGATGGGACATGAGTGCAGCTGAGTTTCCATTGGCTCGAGAAGCTAGATAGAGGTGCTGCATTCATCGTATGACCGCATGGCTGCGGGGTTTGACGGGTTGTGTGAGGCGCTGAGGGCGAGTGGGTGGCGCTGTGATGATGGCTTGCTGGCGCGGATGGGGGATTGGCGGCTGCTGCTAACAGCGGATAAGGGGAAATGAGAAATGGGTGATGTGCGCACCCTATGACTGCATTGGAGGGGGGAGGGAGGGGAGAAGAGGTTGAGGTGCTGTGCGAGGCGTAAGAGCGAGTGGGTGGCGCTGTGATGATGGCTTGCTGGCACGACCAGGGGACTGGCGACTGGTGGTGTCAGCGGATAAGGGGAAGTGAGGGATGGGTGAGAGTGCAGCAGCGTCCTCCTTGTGCAGGCGGGTGCTACATAGCAGGTGCATCGTTTGGGAAAATCGGGGTGGGGTGCGTCAAAGATTAGTGTGTGCGCTAATATTAGGAGATGATGAGAAATGAGGGATTGGGAGAGCAGCAGTGTTTGCATCGGCTAGGAAGCTAAAGATGAGATGATGCATATATACAGGTGTGATGGTGTGAGTGGGATTGGGAGACATGATATTTGCATTTCTTTGTTGAGGAGATTCTGAAATGGAGTTTAGGGTAGAAAACTTGTACGATGAAGCCTGATTATTGGAGAACTTGAGATACGCACTCAACACAGCAGATTAGATACCGTAATCCCCCGCATAGTACACCCTAGGGTGTACTGATAAATACCCCCCTTTAGGGGGGTGTTTAATTATGGGGGGGGTGTAAGCCTGCACCCATGGGTGTTATGTAATGACATTATTTTATCTGGAAAAGCACATGTTTTCTGTACCCAGCTCCCCTCTATTATCGAATCGAGCTGAAACAGCCGTCGCACTGCGCGTGGTGTGTGAGCCACGTCATGCAGGCTCATCGCACGCGCCAAAAACTACCGAGTGCAGTCCCCCAAACCTGCTCGATAGCCTTTCAAGGGCGACGCGCCCCTCGAGACAGAAAGTTCCGTTTGAAATCTCTCCCTCGTGTACGTTAAAATTAGAGTGGGGGTGTACTCAAAATTTCAAGAAAATGGGGGGGTGTTTTAACTGGTGTATTTTTTAGTACACCCACTGTAATTGAACACCCACGGGTGTTCAATTTTGGGGGGTGCACTATGCGGGGGATTACGGTAGGAAAGGATAAGCAAAGATCTGAGGTGCATGATGCTTGCTTGGAGACACAGGGCTTCTGGTGCAGCAGTTGATGCAACAAAACACACAGTTCCTAGGCCTGCTGTTCTCCACCTCCAGAAGCAAGTCAAGGCTTGGTGCATTAGTAGCATGTGGAGATGCATTAATAACACATGGAGATGCAGGAGATGGTGCTGATGCAGCGGGTGGTGTAGCTTTTGGGGATGGAGCTGACTTCTGAGGCGCCTCAAAAGCAGCAGGTGGTGCAGGGATGAACTGGTTGAGTTATTTGAGTCGACTCAAAACACAGCAGGTGATGCAGGGATGAACTGGTTGAGGTTGGGGATGGAGATGGCAGCATCGATATTCTCAGGCAAGCCCCTGTGCCGGCCCAGCAGCATCACCAGCATCAGCAGCATCAGCAGCACCAGGTGCAGCAGCTACAGCAGGGGTAACAGGGGCAGCAGATACAACAGACTCAGCAGGTGGTCCAGCAGGTGGTGCAGCAGGCGGCTCAGGGATGAACTGGTTGCGGTTGGGGATGGATATGGCAGCGTCAATGTTGTCAGGCAGACCCCTGTGCCGGCCCAGCAGCATCACGAGCACCAGCACCAGCTTTGACCAAGGATTCCAGACGCCTGAAAGGTGGGATACGGGGAGAAAAGAGAGCGAAACATGACTTCATTTCGAAGCCCTATCAGGAAAACACCCAGCAGCATCACCAGCACGAGCACCAGCTTTGAACAAGGACTCCAGACGCCTGCGGGGAGCAGAGGGGCACAGGGAAAGGAGAGATTCATAGTTCAGTCCAGAGGCGCCAAACAGATTGCTTCTGAGCCGGCTCAGCAGAGAAGGCTATCTAGCAAGATTTAAAAAAAGGGCGCACCAGACAAGACATTTTGGGTAATTGTCGAGATGGACGCAGCAGAGGCGACGATTTAGGATGCTTCCCCCCCCCAAACAACAACAAAAAAAAAACAAAACAAAACAAAAACGAACAAGTAACGCACCAGAGAAGCTATACGGAGGAGAGACACAGTCGGGACCAGCTTCAGGCGGACAGGTGTAGCCCAAGGAGAGGCCCACGTTGCCATACCCACTGCAGGAGAAAAACATGTGCAAAGGTAAAGGTATGGCGTGTCAGCATTGGGAGGCCCACATTGCTGTATCCTCTGTCAGGGGCGTGTCAGCATTAAAAAGCCCAAATTGCTGTCTGTATCCACTCCACTGCCAGACGAGAACACATGCGAGAATAACTTTTGAGTCGACTACCCTCCATCCCTCCCCTCTGCCACTCTACCACCCGCAATAGTCATCTGTATCCACTACCAGTAGACAATGTGGGAGGCCCACATTGCTGTCTGTATCCACTACCAGACGAGAACGCATGCGAGGATGGGTATGTTGGGAGATCTTCACACTTAGTCACCAGAGAGTTTTGAGGCGCCTAAAAAAGAGAAATCCTCAGACACAGCCACCAGAGAGCAGCTGTGCGCAGGCAAAGGTTATTGCTAAGCCATGTCAACAATGGAAAAGGTTCCTATTGGCATGTCCACTGTGAGCACAAACATATGAACGATTTTTGAGAAATTCTCGAAAAATCGCTCACAAGAAGAGCAGCAGTGCGCAGGCAACAGCTATTTCTAAGCCATGTCAAAAATTGAAGAGGTTTCTGCGCAAGAAGACGTGCAATCAAACCTAGAAAAATCAAGAGGTTTATGGCCACTGCAAGCCCAAGCAAACGGAAGGATAGATGGAGGGTCTAAAAACAGAAAAAAACACCCGAAAAGCACCCGAGGAGACCGGTTTTGAGGCACCTAAAAACAGAAAAACGCCTGATGAGCAAGACAGGTTTTGCCGCACGCAGTGCGGGGTGTTGGATCACGGGGTGTTGACCCAGGGCAGGGGACTGCTTCCGCTGGTGATGTTGGCGCTCTCTATACGACAAATGGTCAGTAGAGCCATGAAGAGCGATTGAGGGCCTAAGCTGCTCCTTGGTGAAGGTTTGATCACAGAAAGCGGGGGCTGGGCGCACCCACTCACCTGATGAGCTCAAAGGCGATATTGAAAATGTTGAAGTTGGAGATGTCGTTGGTGATGTTGGCGCTCTCTATGAGGCAGATCACCAGCAGCGCTATGAAGAGCAATGCTGAATCCCGCAGGAGCAGCCCTCTGCCCTGGGTGAACACCCCGTGATCCAGCACTCCACCCTGCATGCATGGATTGTTGAGGGAAGACAGGTGAGCTCCATCTGAGACGTCTCATAACTCTCTAAGAGGCAGATGAGCAGCAGAGTCATGAGGAGAAACGTGGAATCCCGCAGGAGAAAGCGGCCCCCGGCCCTGGGTCAACACCCCAAGGTCCAACACTCCCCTCTGCATGCACGCATGGATTGTTGAGGGAAGACACATGGATTTATTCCCGTGAGGCGAAACAAGTTTGCGATTAAGCGCTTTTCTTCAGGATTGCTGCTAGTCCAATATGAAGAACCTCTGATCCAGCAGCACACCCCCCTGCATAACTTGTGTCTCGCGGTGTGATGTGCCATGTGATGTGCCATGTTATGTGCCATGTTATGTGCCATGTTATGTGCCGTGTTATGTGCCATGTTATGTGCCACATGTTATGTGCCATGTTATGTGCCATGTTATGTGCCACATGTTATGTGCCATGTTATGTGCCATGTTATGCCACGGCAAGCGAGGAGGGATGAGAGTGGCATGGATGGTGAGCAGTGAAGAATGTGTGTATGTTTAAAACTCTTGAAGGTATAGTCGACTCAATAACCCAATATTTTTGCGAAGCAACATAATATGCACAACTCACACCCCTCCTCATCCCCACACCCATTTCCCCTACACCCCTTCCCACCCCTCGAGTTCTATCTCATTCACTCAAGAACTCGCCTGCAAGTCCTCCCAGAAAACCCCGATATCCTCGTCGTCATACACCTCCCGCTGCTCCCTCGACGTCTGCCTCGTCAGGTAAAGTGGATACACAGCGACGTACCTAAAGGGCAAGGGATGGAAAGTAAGATAGGATTAGAGGATGAGGATACAAAGCCATGAACCTGTGGTGTTAAGAGGGTGACTTTGTGAGAACCTAAGAAGGTTTGTTGAAATCCTCACATAATCCCTGGCATTCCTAGAATATTGACATCGGTACAAGGCGTGCATGACCTTTGAGGCGCCTCAAAAGTTGAAATTCCTACAAAATCTCCACGGATGGACAGTCAGATACGAGGGGTGCATAACCGAGTACTTACCAGTGTTGGAAGGGCAAGGAATGTAATGGGGGTTGTGCAGAAGGAGGTGTGTTCACTCATGCCCCATGACTCACTCACATCATGCCCAGGTACAGCAGCAGCATAGGGGGGCGCAGGAGGCCAATGGCAATGACGTTGAATCCTGCGTTGCGTGTGCTCACAGACTGAAAGTATCCTGCTAGTACCTTGGTCCCGCCTGCCATGCGCACACACACACACAGACACACGGGGTTGGAAGGGAGGAGGGGAGGGAACAGTGAAATGGCAGTGAGAATAGTTTAGGTGGTGTAAGGCTCACGGAAAAGAGCCATTTAAGAGTGTGCTCGCTTCTATAAGTGGGAATGAGGTGACAAATAGGTGGGAATGAGGTGACAAATGGGTGGGAATGAGGGGACAAATGGGTGGGAATGAGGCGACAAATGGGTGGGAATCAGGCGAGAAATGGGAAGAAGCAGGCATTGGCAGCATGGCAGAGCATGTGAGAAAATCCCTGAGGCAAGAAACTCGTTGATTACTGGAAAGGCTGGAACTCACTTCTTTTTTTCAGAGACAAAGCCTCCAAAAGGAAAAATTGGTCCCTTCCCAGACCAAGCCTAAAACAAATGTGTTCTTTTTCTCATTTTTATTGCTTTCAAGTTGCGTGTGCGCACGTGCGCGTGTGCGTGTGCGTGCGTGGGAGGGAGGGTGGGTGGGTGGGTGGGTGGGTGGGTGGGTGGGTGGGTGTGTGTGTGTGTGTGTGTGTGTGAGTGTGTGTGTGTGTGTGTGTGTGTGTGTGGTGTGTTGCACGTGTGGAGTAGTACACATGCAACTCACTGGCAAAGCCATCAAGGGCAGGCGAGGTCCAGTCGGTGGCACAGAAGAAGACAAACTCCGTGAGATTGAAGGCCAGCACTGTGAGCACCAGCATCATGGTGGAGCGCGGTGGGAAGAGGTGCGTGTAGCACTTGCGCGGGTGTACCAGGAGGTAGGAGTAGACGAACTGCAGGGTTTAGGGGGTGAACGGGTCGCATACAACGCCTCAATGTTAGAAAAGCGGAGTGTTATGAGTCTGCCTTTGAGGCACCTCGGAAGAGAAGGTGCCTCAGAAGCGGAGTGTTATGAGTCTGCCTTGTCTTGCTAATGGCATTTGCGCGCCTGCAAGAGAAGGCAGGAGTGGATAAACAGCAGGGATACATGGTGTGGAGGGGGGCATAGCAGATAGCCCTTTCAAAGCAGGAACCCTATGGTGTAAGAGTGTACATTTACAAAGTCTCAAAAGGGGTGCATGTAGTGCGTGTGGGAGTGCAAGAGGAGCATGAGCAGATGACCTGAGGGGTATGCCACATGATGTTGTTAAAGGATGCCACAGTAGAAGCTAAAAAAGGATTGCGTAACATGAGGATTGCATAGTTGTGTGGGTGCAACAACACGAGGGAAGGAGTGAGGAACAAGAATAGAGGTGACGTGAGTGCAGCGGGGGACCTTGTGTGCAAAAACAGCAACGGTGTTGGAAGGGAGGAACAACTAAGTGCAGTGCAGTACAGTATGGTGCAGGCCTTACCCTTTTGTCTCCCCGTGAAAAGCGCCGGAGCAGAAGCAGGAGGGCTCGCAGCGTGGGCGGGTACATGGTATTGCCAATGAGAATGAAGAGTGACGTCACGATGATCAGGGCTGGGGCCCTCACAAACCCCATTAGGTTATCGTTCAGCAGTGCCGCTCCCGTGTTGGAAAACGTCGACATTGCCTGTGCAAGGAGGAGGGAGGAGGCATGGGAGATGGCTGACTGGCATGGAAGACGGCTGACTGGCATGGAAGACGGCTGACTGGCATGGAAGACGGCTGACTGCCATGGAAGACGGCTGACTGGCATGGAAGACGGCTGACTGGCATGGAAGACGGCTGACTGGCATGGAAGACGGCTGACTGGCATGGAAGACGGCTGACTGGCATGGAAGACGGCTGACTGGCATGGAAGACGGCTGACTGGCATGGAAGACGGCTGACTGGCATGGGAGATGGCTGACTGGCATGGGAGACGGCTGACTGGCATGGGAGACAGCTGACTGGCATGGAAGACGGCTGACTGGCATGGAAGACGGCTGACTGGCATGGAAGACGGCTGACTGGCATGGAAGACGGCTGACTGGCATGGAAGACGGCTGACTGGCATGGAAGACGGCTGACTGGCAAGGCGGGAAGCTGACTGACATGGAAGCCACAGAAGAAGACGCTGTTGATGCTGTGGGCCTGCAGATTTGCCTTGGCGTCTGTTTTTGAGGCGCCTCAAAAACTGAATGACATGGAATGCGACTGACTGACATGGAAGACGGCTGACTGGCAAGAAGAGCAGGTGACTGACAAGAAGGGCAGCTGACTGACATGGAAGGCACAGAAGAAGACGCTGTTGACGCTGTTGGCCTGCAGATTTGCCTTGGCGGAGGCAGAGATGCTGACGATGAGCAGCAGCAGGAGGAAGGCGGTGAGCAGCGATGTGGCGAGGAATGCTGGCACCAGCCAGCTTAATGTCTCCAGTGCCCTGGATAGGCATGGGGATGGGGATGGGGATGGGGATGGGGATGGGGATGGGGATGGGGATGGGGATGGGGGGGTGGGGGTGTGGATGGGATTGGGATTGGGATTGGGATGGGAACGGGGGTGATGGGGATGCTATTTTTCAGGCGCCTCAAAGAATGCTGGCACCAGCCAGCTTAACGTCTCCAGGGCCCTGGATAGGGATAAGGACGGGGGATGGTCATGGGGGTGGGGATGGGGATGGGATAGGGATGGGGACGGGGGAATGGGGATGGGGATGGGGATGGGGATGGGGATGGGGATGGGGATGGGGATGGGGATGGGGATGGGGATGGGGATGGGGATGGGGATGGGGATGGGGATGGGGATGGGGATGGGGATGGGGATGGGGATGGGGATGGGGATGGGGATGGAGATGGGGATGGGGATGAGGATGGAGATGGGGATGGGGATGTGCAAGTGCATGTGCAAGTGCATGTGCAAGTGCATGTGCAAGTGCATGTGCATGCATGGGCGATGTGCAAGTGCAGGTTCCACATTGAAAGGGGGGCATTGCAGAGCGGATGGCACTGAAAGAGGGCACATAGCATGGAATGTGGCACATGGCACATGGCACGTGGCACGTGGCAGAGATGGCACATGGCACATTGCAATTTTCACATGGCATGTCGCGCATGGCAAATGGCATGTCGCACATGGCACATGGCACATGGCATGTCGCACATGGCACATGGCACATGGCGTGTCGCACATGGCACATGCAGTGCCCAAGGGCCTCATTTAAAAAAAAAATGATTTCTCGAAAGAGGTTCATCAGTCAACAACAGCAATACAGAACAGTGGAGCGTGCAAGTGAGCTATGAGGAGGGCAAGTGAGGTATGAGGAGGGAATGTGAGCTATGAGGAGGGCAAGTGAGGTATGAGGAGGGAATGTGAGCTATTAGGAGGGCAAGAGAGCTATGAGGAGCGCTCACCTGAGCTCGAGGAATCTGAGTTCACTTGGCTGTGCTGCCGTCAGCCATTCATCCACCATCGCATCCGCATAACCATCAGCAAACCCGTAACCATCAGCATCAGCATCAGCGATATCAGCGAATTCCAGATCCCCCTCAAGGCTTGTGCCCGTCACACTGCTTTCGCGGCTCAACCTCCCGCTCCTCCTCTGCCTTGCCCTGTGCTCTAGACCCCCCAGGAATGGCAAGAGCGCAGGGGCGTGTGGTAGGGAGTGTGCTCGTAACGCGGATTGGTTGAGAGATGTAGCACGCGGTAGCCTTGAGGTGAACAGGTCTAGGGAGGAACGCCTGGTAGCTGCCGCCTCCTGCTCCTCCTGCTGTGGCTGCTGCTGCTGCTGTGACCTAAGCGCCTCAAGCGCCAATCGCAGGCGCTGCCCTTCAATCCTAGCCGTTTCCCCAGCCCAAGTCATCGAGCTCATCCCCACAGCCCCCTCTGCCTCCGCCGCTCTGCCTCCACCCCGCCGCCGCAACCCAGTGCGTGTCACCCATCCCTCCTCCACATCCGTCCCCCGTCTGGCGCCATGCCCTTCGCCCCCACCAGCACCTGTAGTCAAGGGCTGCCGCCCTTCTCTTGCCTCCTCCAGGAGTTTCTCCAGCACGGTTGTCAGGCCTAAGGGCCTTCGGCCTGTGGGAGTGGGAGCTGCTGATTCTTGAGGCGCCTCAGAAGTTGCCAGGCCTAAGGGCCTTCGGCCCACAGGCGGCTGCTGCTGCTGCTGCTGCCGCTGCCGCCGCCGAATCTGCTTCGTGTGCTGATGCTGCTGTTGTTGCCTCTGCTGCTGCTGTTGTTGCCTCTGCTGCTGCTGTTGCTGTGGCTGCATTTGGTGCTGCTGCTGTTGCTGACGCTGCTACTGCACCAGAAGCTGCAGCTACGGAGACCGCGTGGCGCTCGCCTGCAGCGGCAAAAGCTATTTCATGGGAGGGGGCGGGCAAGGAAGAGACAAGAGGAGCAGGGGTAGTGGCAGCAGCAGCAGCAGCAGCAGCAGCAGCAGCAGCAGCAGCAGCAGCAGCAGCAGCAGCAGCAGCAGGGTATGCAGTGGGGTCACTGGCAATAGGACCCTCTGGGCCTGTTTCAATGTCGGCATCTCCATTTTCTCCCCCCTCCGCCCCAGCATGCACCCTGCTTCCCTGCAGCTGCCCCAGCACTCTCAACCCGCCTCCTCCACTGCCCCCCTGCCTTCCCTTGCTGCTGCCACTGTCACTGCTGCCCTTGCTGCCCCTGCTGCCCTTGCCGCTGCTGCAGACGCTCTTGGGACTCGCAGCAGCTGGAGCTACAGAGGGCAGGCTTACAGACCAGGCTCCGTTGTTCCCTGACATGTTCCCTCCTCCTCCATCCCCTCCTTCTCCTCCTCCTCCATCTCCTCCTTCGCCCCCTGCACCATGCTGCGCTGCCTGAGAGGCGGAGGCTGCAGTGTGAGAGGCTTTAAGGTCATAGTTGGAGGCGGAGGGCTGGGTTTGGAGCAGGCCAGCGCGGGCGAGGTAGCGGTGGAAGTAATATCGCCGCACCAGGACAGGCACCAGGGACGTCACCACCTGGCACACAGAGAAAAAGATAGGAGTCATTTTTGAGTTGATTTTAGAATCGTAAAAAATGACTCCAGTGTGGCGCACCAGGACAGGCACCAGGGATGCCACCACCAGTCATTTTTTTAGGTCTAGAAATGTCCATCCTGACCTAACATCTTCAGATCTGGAAAAGCTGCCAGTATGGGGTTGCTCCTTCCTTTGCCGTTAAGCTGCCAATCTGGCAGGCTGGGCTTCATATGGTTCACTGCAGTGCCATGGCATGGCATGGCATGGGCATGGGCATGGCATGATGGCCTGATTAAGAGAAGGAACCAACCAACCAATGAGGGATTCATTCAACATGTGATTTCTGGTTACCAGAACTCACTCCTAACCACGCACCTGGGAGCCCATGAACATGAGCAGGAGGCGAGCGACATTGGTGCCATCCGTGAAGACCCCCACGTCGACGGTGATAAATCCCGCCAGGCACACACACGACGTCACATTGAAGAGCGCGTCTATGAAGCTGATTTGTCATGTATGGTTACTGGTTACCAGCACGACACTCCTACCACGCACCTGGGAGCCCATGAACATGAGGAGGAGGCGAGCGACATTAGTCCCGTCAGTAAAGACCCCCACGTCGACGGTGATGAGTCCCGCCAGGCACACACACGACGTCACATTGAAGAGCGCGTCTATGAAGCTGATCTTCCCTGCTGGCCCGCTCGGCGCCACGCAGAAGACGAGCGTGAAAGCGAGGATGACTATAACGAAGCACAGCATGTGCAGGCGGTAGAAGGTCACGCGCCGCTTGAGCCACGCAGGAAGAGCCACGCCGCGCATCAGCGGAGGTGGTGCGACGGCGCGCCAGGCTGAGCTTGCCATGGAAACAGCAGCTCCAGCAGCAGCAGCAGCAGCAGCAGCAGCAACTACCACTAGTAGTAGCACTAGAACGACTTTAAGGAGTCTCAACAACAGGAGCCGGAGCCTCAAAAACAGGAGCACGGGCACTGCTGGTTGTAGCACCGCTAGAGCGTCACAACGCACAGCAGCGACACGGTCAATAACTTGCTTGAGCTACACGGAATCGTGAATGGCGGAGGCTCTGCCGTCCAGAGCAAACGTGCTCGCTCATTGATCCTCCCGGGTGTGTTGCGCGAGGAGAGGAGACGTTTGAGTCGACACAAAAGTCGCCTCTTAAAAGGAGTGCAAGCGTAGCGGCTGTGCGCAGGTCGTACGTTTACAGCTCAGCATTCGCGGCTGAGCTTCACGAATTAGACCGCAAAGAACGTACACGAGACGTACGAATATATCCCGTCATTGAGCCTCAGATTTGTGAGTTCTGGCGGGTGGAGAGGAGAGGAGGGAGAGAGCCGCGCGGCGACTCCGAAAGAGCGGAGACAGTGAGCAGAACGATACTGGAGAGGAGAGTGATGCTCTCGCGACAATCGATGGTTTGTGGGGACGCGGGCCGCGGCCGCGTGAACGACGACTCATTTTGGCAAGGTTACGAACGTAACCTGTGAGTGTGACTTGTGTGATGAGGCAATTTTCGAAGTGCCTGAAAAGGCGACGAAATTTTGGCCTTGTCCCGTGGTGTGATGTGGGTAGGAAACTTGACGGGGTTCATAAGGGCGATCACACCCAAGTTCATATCGCCTCGACAATCCCAAGAACACCGCGAAGCTGTCTCGGCGCCCTCCCTTCTTGGCTGACGATTACTGGGTGTCGGTATCCCCCCCTCCTCACTACAATCACACGGTTCGGGACACCATTCTCGGCGTACGTTAATCTAGTCGCGTCTACAGAGTGTTGCTTAGGCGAATATGCTGTACACCGAATAATTTTGACGCGATGCCGCCCGCAAACGGGTAATTATGGAGCCAAATCCACATGCTAACGGCAGGAAGTCCCAATGCCTCACTGAGGGAGTGCCTTGCGGCGAAGCTTGTGCATGCCGTGCTGGCTTGGTTTGAGCGGCAGTTGCATCACTGAAGATGTGTTCCCAATGGTGGCTGACGTCCCGCACATAGCGGGTCTTGACACAAAGAACAGAGTGGATGAATCTCATATTACGTTTCGGATTCCGTATAGACGGGAAAAGTGTGAATTATTGATCTTATCAAGGGGAACACTTCAATATTGCCAAATTTATCAAACTACTGTATAGACCCACACCGGCTTCTCAAAACGAGTGCTCCAAAGCTCTTGTGGCTTCAAATTGTGCAATAATTGTAGGAAACGACGCCGCCCTGATGCACGTGGCTCAGATAGGGCCCCTTGCAAAAGGAACTTCGGTTGACAAGGATAACTGTACCTCCGCCAAGACATCCGTCTTCAATTCGACGCTAGCCGAGCGCTGAAAGTATGCACACTTGTTACCATCCAAGGGTGCGGTACAACATACGGTAATGTAGATGCACAGCAAAGTTACAGAAAAAAACATTACATGCTATTTCTTCATATTAAACACCTGTGGTGGTTCAGCTACACGTCCCTGTAGTGTTTAAACGGAGGGGGAATTGGCTGCAGGGACGGCAGAGGATATTACTGCAGTCGACATGTACACAGGAGGCCGAGGGAGGGGGGGATCGTTTCCTTATACGGTAGCCACAACAGGGGAGTCCAGTCAGTGTTGTGCATGGACTGGGTGCAATATGCAACCCCCAGCAGATGGGGGTGGTGGTGCTGCTTGTGGTGGTGATTAGATGACATGTATGAACTGGGTGCATGAACAGATAGCATGGGTGTTGAGCACCCTTTTGTGGTTCAGATGCACGTCCCTCACATGCAGGTCTCTGTAGTGCATGCAGAGAAAGGGTGGTGTCGGCTGCAAGAACAGCAGAGGCCATAACTACTGGTTACATGTACACAGGGGGCAGAGGGGGGGATGCTTTTCTAACAGCCACAGCAGCATGGGAAAGTGAGAAGTCTCTAGCCCACGATACGGGGGTCCAGTCAGTGTCGTGTATCAACTGGGTGCACGAACGGATAGCCCTGGTGTTGAGCACCAGTAGTGGTTCAGATGCAGTGGTGCTGCTGATGGTGGTTACATGTAAGCAGGAGGCAGAGGGGGACATCGTTTCCTAACAGCCACGGCTGCATGGGACAAAGAAAAATCTCTAGCCCACGACACGGGGGTCCAGTCAGTGTCGTGTATGAACTGGGTGCACGAGCGGATAGCCCTGGTGTTGAGAGCCCGGTAGTGGTTCAGATGCACGTCCCTCACGTGCATGTCCACCCCGGCCATGCGCGCAGGAGGCAGGGCAGCAGCAGGAGTGGGATTGCCTGCAGGGATGGCAGAATCAGTGGTGTTGCTGGTGGGGGTGTTGGTGTTGGTGTCGGTGGTGTTGTTGATGGTACTGGTGGTGGTGTTGGCAGTGGTGGTGGTGCTGCTGCTGGTGGTGGAGGTTGTCTTGGAGGCTGGTTGAGCAGGTATGCTTGCAGCTGGGGCTGAAAGGGGCCACGTCTTCGCCACTGCATGAATCTGGTGGTGAGTGTGGTGTGGTGGAGGGGGAGACAAGGCAAGGAGAGAGTCTTGAGAATGCTCTGAATGCATGCGGTATGTGTGGTGATGCATGAGAATGATTGATGGCCGTCAAACATCCTGCGCACACAGGAAACCAGGCCACCCTTCCGGGGATCCGCCACATCCCCTCACCCCAAACACTTTCTCCCTCCGGGGATCCGCCACATACTTCCAAAATCGTCATCCAAGTCCATGCACAGGTGGTGAGGCACATATCCATTCACATTGGATAGCAAGAAACCCAATCCTTACTCTCCACAAACACCACTCATTTCACTTCCCCCAAACTGTATCACTTTCATCGGATCACCAATGTATTTCCGGTACCCATTAAACCCCAGGCACATATCTCTTGATTCGTATCGCTTGGGCACCACACAGTGCACGTCGGCCTGGCGAAATATCATCCCCGCCACCTCCCACCTGCCTCCCTGCCAGATAGATCCCCCACACACCCCATCCCTTCTAACTTACCCCGAACAGCTTCACTTTTCTTGGGTCAGCAATGTACTTGCGGTGGCCATCAAACCCCAGGCACAGGTCACGAGATTCATAGCGTTTAGGCGCCACACAGTGCACGTCAGCCTGGCGGAATATCATCATCTCCACCTCCCATCCCACCCGCCTCCCTTCCAGATAGATTTCCCAAAGTGAACCCCTGCTGACTCGCCCTGAAACACCGCCCCTTTCCACTCACCCCGAACAGCTTCACTCTCCTCGGGTCAGCGACATATTTCCGATGCCCATCGAATCCCAGGCACATATCTCTCGACTCATAACGCTTGGGCGCCACACAGTGCACGTCGGCCTGGCGGAATATCATCATCTCCACCTCCCACCCGCCTCCCTGCCCAATACACACCCCCAAAACACCTACCAGGACCGTCTTGACTCACTCACCCCGAACAGCTTCACCTTCCTCGGGTCAGCCACGTATTTCCGGTGGCCATCGAACCCCAGGCACATATCTCTCGACTCATAGCGTTTAGGTGCCACACAGTGCACATTCGCTTGGCGGAATATCGTCCTCTCCACTCCACCTCCCACCTGCCTCCCTGCCCCAAAATACACCCTAAAACCCCTACCAGAACCCTCGTGACTCACCCCGAACAGCTTCACTCTCCTTGGGTCAGCCACATATTTCCGGTGCCCGTCAAACCCCAGGCACAAGTCTCTTGATTCATATCGCTTGGGCGCCACACAGTGCACGTCGGCCTGGCGGAATATCATCCTCTCGACCTCCCAACGGGTTGGGGATGAGGCAGAGACGTTCATGGAGTGCGAGCACTTGTCCGTGTAAAAGTAGAGACTGCCAAAGGAGACATAGGCTGCTTGCTGCATAGAAGAGGGCGGGAATAAGAGGGGCGGGATGGGATGGGATGGGATGGTTGCCCCACTAGGCAGAGACGTTCATAGAGTGCGAGCACTTGTCCGTGTAAAAGTAGAGACTGCCAAAGGAGACATAGGCCGCTTGCTGCGTTGGGGAAGTGGGGAGAAGGAGGGGAATACGAGAGGTGGAATAGGAGAAAAGGTCAACTGAGTGGCTTGCCTCAGTGGTTCGCACGTTCATAGAGTGCGAGCACTTGTCTGTGTAGAAATAGAGACTGCCAAACGACATGCAGGCCGCTGTGTGGAAATGGGGAGGAGGAGGGATGAAAATACGAGAGGGGTAAGGGAGGGATGGTCAGCTGAGCGGCTTGCCTCAATGCGAGCCGAGTTGCAAGTTAGCGCAGTGATGAGGGGCTGTGAGACGTAAATGTACATCTAGTCCAGGAAAAGGTGGGGTGAGGTGAGGTGAGGTGAGGTGAGGTGAGGTGAGGTGAGGTGAGGTGAGGTGAGGTGAGGTGAGGTGAGGTGAGGTGAGGTGAGGTGAGGTGAGGTGAGGTGAGGTGAAGGCAAACACCAAGAGTAAGGGCATGAGTACACACCTCGTAGCGAGCGAGTGCGGAGTTGAGGGAAGATCCGAGGGGCTGTGAGACGTAGAGGTACTCGTCCAAGCCCAGGAAGAGCACCCAGCGGGAGGTGAGGTAATGGCAAACACCAAGTGGACGCACATCGGACTCACCTCATAGCGAGCGAGTGCGGTGATGAGGGAAGATCCGAGAGGCTGTGAGACGTAGAGGTACTCGTCCAAGCCCAGGAAGAGCACCCAATGGGAGCAGGCGGTAAAGATTCAATGCGGGAACATCGGACTCACCTCATGGCGGGCGAGTGCGGTGATGAGGGACGACCCCAGGGGCTGTGAGACATAGAGATACTCGTCAAAGCCCAGGAAGAGCACCCAGCGAGAGGTGAGGTGAAGTTCGGAGAGTACGCGCATGGGACTCACTCACCCCATGCTTTGCAAGTGCAGTGATGAGTGAGGAGCCCAGCGGTTGGGAGACGTAGAGATACTCGTCCAAAACCAGAAAGAGCACCCAGCGAGAGGTGAAGAGAGCATGGCAGTAGTTAGAGCACAGAGGAATGCGGCCAGAGCGATTGCACATGTGACTCACATCATAGCGAGCAAGCGCAGTGATGAGGGAAGAGCCTAGGGGTTCTGAGACGTAGAGATACTCGTCCAAATCCAGAAAGAGCACCCAGCGAGAGGTGAAGAGAGAGCGGTAGGCACAGTCGTTCACCACTAGCACCTGGTTGGGGTTGCAAGGAGGAAAGGGAGGGGAGGAGGCAAAGGGAGCAAAGGGCATAGGAAAAGCAGAAGTGTTGACAATACGGTACTCGCCATAGTCGAGACATAGCACCCAGAGGGAAGTGAAGAGAGAGAGAGAGGTAGGCATAGTCCTTCACCGCTAGCACCTGGTTTGGTGTTTTGAGGGGGGAAGAAGGAAGAGAAGTGGTGAAACGAGGCGGATAGACACATGAAGAGCAAAGGGGCTGCAAGGCATAGAGGTACTCGTCGAAGGCCAAGAAAGAGAACTCATAGAGACACCCATTGGGAGGTGAAGAGCGAGCGATAGGCACAGTTGTCGACCACTAGCACCTGATTGGGTAGGGGAGTAGGGGAGTGGGGAGGGGGACAGAGAGGGGTGGGAAGAGGGGGTTGGTTGGTCTATTATCTAAGATTCAGCGAGAGGTGAAGAGGGAGCGGTAGGCACAGTCGTTCACCACTAGGGCCTGAAAGCACGAACCCAATCCTCCCTGAACACCCCCTCTCACCTGTGCACTCCCTTTCACCTGCGCACTCCCTCTCACCTGTCCAAACCATGTCTCGAATTCGTCCACTTCAGTCACATCCGTTACAGTCATCTGCCCCTCCCTTATAAAGGGACCCAGCGTCCTCATTATAGGCTCGCCCATGCCGCCCGCATCGTACATGTGAAACAGGTCCACCCCGTGGCCCTGCTGGTGGTATACCACCCACTCGAGCACTCTCAGTGAGTTGAATTGCCCGTAGATGGGCGAGGAGCAGTAGGTGATGTTACTTGTGTAGGGGGCTGAGGGCTGGGGCGTGGGGGGTAAAGATAGAGAAAGGGTCTACTCTATGGCCCTGCTGGTGGTATACCACCCACTCGAGCACTCTCAGGGAGTTGAACTGGCCGTAGATGGGCGATGAACAGTAGGTGATGTTACTCGCATAGGGGGCTGAGGGCTGGGGCGTGGGGGGCAGGGGACGGGGAAACGGCGGGGAAAAGATGGAAAAAAGGTTTGTTCTGCGGCCTTGCTGGTGGTATACCACCCTCTCGAGCACCCTCAGGGAGTTGAACTGGCCGTAGATGGGCGACGAGCAGTAGGTGATGTTGCTGGAGTAGGAGGCTGAGGGCTGAGAGCAGGGTGCAACGAGGGGAGAAACAGTGGAGAAGGACGGAAGAGAGAGCGGGTTTCTCCAGTGGCCGTGGCCGTGGCCGTGCTGGTGGTATACCACCCACTCGAGCACTCTCAGGGAGTTGAACTGGCCGTATATAGGTGACGAGCAGTAAGTGATGTTGCTGGGGTAGGGGGCTGATGGCTGGGTGTGCAGAAAAGGAAGGAAAAAGATAGAGCAGAGGTTAATCCTGTGGCCGTGCTGGTGGTATACCACCCACTTGAGGACTCTGAGGGAACTAAAGTGACTGGAGATGGGCGAGGAGCAGTAGGTGATGTTGCTGGAGTAGGGGGCTGAGGGCTGGGCATGAGGGATGGGGGATGGAGGGTGGGGGGTGGGGAATGGGGAATGGGGGATTGGTGAGGGAGACGAGGAAACGAACATGCACGTGTGTAATGGATAAAATTGGACCAACATGGATAAAATGCTTCAATACAAGAGGAGCACAATAGGAGCACCTGCACCTGCACCGCAACCCTACACACCTCAAGTGGCAGCTTCTCATTGGCCGGTTCCCCGAGCACCAGGATCTCCTCTCGTTCGATCACAACCGTCAGATGCCCCCCCGCGCTCTGCTGCCCCTCTCCCTTTCGTCCCCCCCTGCCTCTCATGCTAGGGGTGGGGCTGCTGAGCTGGCAGAACAGCATTGCCACCTCATACGGCTTGCCGTGCGACTCGCCCGGATATTCTATTGATATTTCGCCGAGGATAGGGGAGGACGAGGATGACGTGGCAGGATACCAGCTGGATAGGGAGAAGCCAATAAGGAGGATGGATCACAGGGGGGAGAGCAAGGGAAGGTTCGAGCAGAGCGGATCAGCAGATTTTTGGGGCCAAGGGAGAACACACAGTGACTCAAGAGCAACACAGCGCATACAAACAAAGGGGAACAGCAGCATGTCCACCTCATACAGCTCACTGTGATAGGGCGAATAACTCCCTTCTGAGTTGACTCAAAAGGGAAAACAGTGCACACAAAAGGGGACCGACGCCATATCCACCTGATACAGCTCACTGTGCTAGTCAGCCAGCGGAGGGGGATAATGCACTGGCACACCCTTGATATTGAGGTTGACTCCTGGGAACTCTCCAAAATCGCCCCATACAGCTCATTGTGATAGTCGCCCTACCAAGGGGAGATGACGCACCGGCACACCCGTGCATCGAGGTTTCGATGTAGGGGCAGGGGAGAGAGACCGATGACCACAAAGAGGCTTGCAGAGATGCGGTATGCGCTGAAATACACAAAGCCCTGCGGCATGCGGGAGGGGATGGGAGCGATGCACATGAAGAGGAGGAGACTGGCTGAAATTGGGTATGCGTGAAGTCCACTAAGCCCAGATAGACGCACCGGGAACGGGAAGGTGAGGGGAGAATGCAAGGGTACGGGGAGAAAGCGATGTGGAAGAGTGGTTAGAATGGCGAGCGTGCGGATAGGCCGGGGGAAGAGCGAGGATAGGCCGGGGGAAGAGCGAGGATAGGCCGGGGGAAGAGCGAGGATAGGCCAGGGGAAGAGCGAGGATAGGCCAGGGGAAGAGCGAGGATAGGCCAGGGGAAGAGCGAGGATAGGCCAGGGGAAGAGCGAGGATAGGCCGGGGGAAGAGCGAGGATAGGCCAGGGGAAGAGCGAGGATAGGCCAGGGGAAGAGCGAGGATAGGCCAGGGGAAGAGCGAGGATAGGCCAGGGGAAGAGTGTTGCACCGTTATGCTTCCGAGTCAGTTCATCTAATGACTCACTCACCTGCATGCCAAATCCTCGCTTGAAGCATGGGATCTGTGGCGTTGGAGAGGCGCAGCGCGGATATCCCCCCCTTTTCACCCCCTCTCAGCTCCAAACCCAGTCCCACCCCACCCCTTACCCTGAAGTCGACTGACAGACAAACTCACCTGCATGCCAAACCCTCGCTTGAACGTGCGATCTGTGGCGTTGGACAGGCGCAGCGCGGGCGTCTTCCCCTGCTTCCCCTCTAGCGCACTTTCCCCTTCCTCCCCCCATGCGCTTCCCCCTCCGCTTCCCCTGCTGCTGCGCAGGTCCACGTCAGCAGCATCGTCAATATCCAGGGTCCCGGAAAACCGGGGGACGGTGCTGGTTGGGGGAAGGGGAGAGAGGGGGGAGGGGGGATTCGGGGAGGAGGGGAATGGAAACAGGGAGGGTCAGGGGAGGATGAGTGTGATCGGCGGAAGCAAGTCAGGGGCTGTGGGGTGGGAGACTGAAAAGGAACTCGACTCAGACGAGAAACACGGGTGGTGGGGGGAAAGAGAGAGACTCGTTGGAAAGGAAATTGGGGAGAACGCGGACTCTTGAGGCCTCGGGGGATGTGGAGAGGTATGGAGGACAGGGGGGTGTAACGGTAACGAGTCTCGGCCAGTAACGCGTACCCATAGAGAGTGACGAGGGTGAAGCAGTTGGTGCAGAGCAGCGCGAAAACGAGGAACTTGTTGCGATTGTAACCAGCTGTCGCGTGCGCTTGCGACAGCACCTGCGACAGCTTCATAACTGCAGTGACTGAGTACGCGTTAGTGACTGAAGCGTGGTTTGTGAGGAGCGGTCGAGTATGGTCGGTAACGGTTGCCTGTCATCAGTTATTCGCCACATTTCGTCAAACATACGCCAAAAGATTGACACATCATTCGCGCTTCTCTCGCATTCGATGCTCACTCTATGGACCTAGGCTGTTGTCGTTAATTATCGCTTGTCGCCACTGCTCGTCGCTGATAATCATTGCTACTCAGTTGGTAGGTGCTCTGCAGCCGACAAAAGTCTGGGTGGAGGACAAATACGAGCAGAGCAGTCAATATCGCGTATGCAGGAATGGGATTTGTGGTTGGTCGACGAGAGGGCACAGCACATCCTGAAAATTGTGAATAAAGGGTTTAGGGACCGTTTTGAGAGATTCAGAACGGTTCTGAGCCCGCAACATTGGCAATGTTTGTAAAAGAACCAATGACTGGTTTATCTAGAAACAAATGCACCTCTTAGCGAATGTTTATTTACGTCGGCTAAACACCAATGCTGGCTGGCAATACCGAGGCCAGATCTCTCGTCAGGCCCAGCATACCTACATCATATTCCCTCGGGCTCCCTGCGGTATAGCCACAGCGGATCGCAGAGGCCTCGGATTTGCAGCAGCTACGGCTGCCCAGTCCATAGATGTCTGGCTGGTTTGGCCTTTATCGCGTGTGATCGCGTTTACGTACTCCATGTGCTAATAACGGAAACCTTTTCCGAGTTTAGACCGCACCCGAGAGTCTGCATTGCCGAGCTAGGTCCGCGATTCTAGCCTTCCCCGTTGCTACTACAATGCAATCATATTGAGGCTCCATCGGGACCCTGCTAAGTAGGTACCCGGACTGGTTATCTTTTATTCTCTCCGCAGATTCAAACCTAGTGGGTTATATTCCCTGCCAAACCTTTCACAATGGCAATCTTTTCCGCGCCTCGGCTGCTAGCGTGCTTGCTGATCCTAGCCGTCGGATTGAGCCACGTGGCGGGCATCCGGTTCGAGGTGACGGCGTACAGCAAGTGTCTGGGCGTGGAGGTTCAGGAGGGGACTCTCGTTGTCGCGTCGTACCAAGTAGTGCCGAGCGGCGAGAGCAGCCCTCTCACCAAGATCACCGCCAAGGTAGGCAGATGAATCTTTCTAGTATTGTGGTGATGGGGGAATGTGACTATAAGGAGATTCACTCTACCAGGTACTCTTGTCCGCGACGTACCAAGTGGTGCCCAGCGGCGAGAGCAGCCCTCTCACCAAGATCACCGCTAAGGTGGGCAGACGAATCACTCCAGTCACAGTAATGTGGTGAAGGGGGAATATGATTATAGGGAGGTTCATTTTACAGGGTACTCTTGTCGTGGGAACCTATAAGTGGTGCCGAGCGGATTTCCAAGGTAGGCAGATGAATCTCTCTCTTGTGAAAGGACGATATAATTATTAAGAAGTTCACTCTACAGGGTACTCCTGTCATTGCGACGTGCACCAAGATCACCGGAAGTGCTGGTTGAAAGCTCACACATATGCAAATCTCACAGCAAACTAGTCATGAATATCATTTATCTAAGACACCATTTGCCAACACAATGCGCTGATTATGCTGTGCGTTCAGCGTGAATTGATTGGCGTGACATGACATGGCTAACATAACTCATATCATGGCATGATCCTGCATGGCATGGCATGGCAGGGTTGACAAACGTCACATCGCATCACATCACATCACATCACATCACATCACATCACATCACATCACATCACATCACATCACATCACATCACATCACATCGCATCACATCACATCACATCGCATCACATCACATCACATCACATCACATCGCATCACATCACATCACATCACATCACATCACATCACATCACATCACATCGCATCACAACATATCGCATCACACCACATCGCATCGCATCACACCACATCACATCACATCACATCACATCACATCACATCACATCACATCACATCACCGCACATCCCACATCACATCACACCACCGCAATCACATCACTGCAAGTGACATCCCCGTTCGGACGGCAGCTGCACTGGCAGAGCGATGTGGAGGAGGAACACTTCTTTTTATGCACCTCAAAGGTCGCCTGTATTCGTGCTGACATGCCACACATCATCACGCATCAGCACGCATCACTGCACATCACCGCACCATGACAGGTGACATCTCCGTTTGGCCGGCAGCGCACTGGCAGAGCGACGTGGAGGAGGGGCACTTCGTTTTCGGTGCCCCAAAATCGTCCCTTTTCATGTTGACGTAACTCACATAACATCCCATCACACCACATCACCGCACATCACCGCACTCCAGGTGACATCCCCGTTTGGGCGGCAGCTGCACTGGCAGAGCGACGTGGAGGAGGGGCACTTTGGGTTCACGGCCAAGGAGTCGGGGCAGTTCATGGCATGCTTCTGGATGCCGCATGGCACTCCGGGCAAGGATTCCCTCATGGTATGTATGTGTGTGTGTGTGTGTGTGTGTGAGTGAGTGTAAGTGTGAGATTGTGTGAGTATGAGTCTGAGAGTGAGTGAATGTGCGGCGGCAGAGCAGCGGGGGTGGAGGAAGGGCACTTTGGATTCACGGCCAAGGAGTCGGGGCAGTTCATGGCATGCTTCTGGATGCCCCATGGCACGCCGGGCAAGGATTCCCTCATGGTATGCACAATCGAGTGTAATGTGATGGTCTGTGTGTGTGTGGACATGACCCGGGTCTTGGCTGTGATAACATTGAGGAGTCAGGGCAGTTCATGGCTGCTTCTGGATGCCCCATGGCACTCGGGGCAAGGATTCCCTCATGGTATGTGTGTATGTGTATGTATGCGTGTGAGTGTGGTTTGTGTGAAAGTGGGTGGATGTGAGGCGGCAGAGCAGTGTGGAGTGGAGGAGGGGCACTTTGGATTCACGGCCAAGGAGTCAGGGAAGTTCATGGCATGCTTCTGGATGCCACATGGCACGCCGGCCATATGAAGAATGGTGTGATCAAGCAGCATATGAACCTGTATACTGCATACATGCATGTGCTGTGCGTGCTTGTGCATGTGAGCAGGTGGACCTGGAGTGGCGATCAGGCGTGGCAGCTAAGGACTGGGAGAGCATAGCGAAGAAAGAGAAGATTGATGTGAGCAAGCAGCCTATGTATACCCATCATGTCTCTGGGCGATTGTTTAGAATGTCCAAACATAATCTCATTTGTGCAGGATTTCTCCCATCAGGACTCTTGAATGAGTGAACTGTCAGGGCCCATCCTCGTCAGTCTATTCATGCCCATGGCTCATGCTGTATCTTCTGCTTTCTGTGCTGCCTCATGCTCTATCGTATGGCAATGTGAAATGCTTCAGCGCTGTGAGGCAGTCAGCTGTGGCAAACTCATCTTTTTGGCGCTTGGGATGGCATGCCATGGGTGTTGTGTGGCATTGATGTACTATGGCATGGTATGGTATGACAATGCATGGATCTACTATGGTATGGCATGGTATGGCATGGCATGGCATGGCATGGCACGGTGTGGCATGGCATGGTGTGTGTCACGGTATGGCATGACATGGCATGATAACTGTAACATGGCATGGTCTGCATGGCATTGTTTGGTATGGCATGGCATGTGTGGCATGGCATGGGATGGGCCAACAGGGCATGGGGTTGGAGCTGAGGAAGCTGGATGAGACAGTGAGGGCCATCCGAGATGAGATGACCTACTTCCGGGGGAGGTGAGACACGAGGAAATTGGAATGCTGGGTAGGTGGAACGCTGGGCAGGTGAGACGCTGGGGTCTTAGAAAACTGGGAAAGTGGGATGCTGGGAAGGGCATGTATGGTGGATGAGTAAGTGGAATTTCCGCCCATGTAGCTCAGGTGGACTGGTTTTTTGTGGCGGATTGCATAAAGATGAATCATCAATGTCTCAACCTTCTCTCATCCTCTCTTCTACCAACACCCCTTTTTCTCCACGAATGTTTATTTAGCCTAACCCAATATATCACCCCCTCCTTATCATCTCTTTTCACTGCCCTATTCTCCCTACTCCCATCTGTTCCCCTTCCTTGGAAAAAAGGGAGTCGGAGATTCGGGACTCTAATGAGCTGACCAATGAGCGTGTGGCCTTCATTAGTATCACATCGCTGCTAATATGTGTGGCTCTAGCATCCATCCAACTGTGGTTCTTGCTCTCCTATTTCCATCGGAAGAAGCTGCTCTAAGGGGGTAGTGGACATAGGAAAACAAGTTGCTGCAAGAGGTGTATTTTGCGTAGTAGTACTGTAGTATGTTGTTTTAGAGTGGAAAAATCCATGTGGTAGTATATTATACATGCGCTGCATCAATCCACTCTAGGAAGAGGTACGAGCAATTTCTGAGGGTTCATCGTATTTGTCTGAAGCGCTCTCAGATGTACTAATATAATAGTCGTATTTTACACCTAAATTCCTAGGGCATACTTAGGTTTTGTATTGGTATAAGACTTTACTTACAATTGTTAATCGTATTTCCGTTCTGGTGTCCAGATCGTGTTCCCACTAGTTCGCGAGTCTTAACTACTGCTATATCGAAGCCCGCAGAGGACAACGCAGAAGCAAAAGAGCAAGCAATCTCACCAGGTCATACTCGGGGTTGCCTCTATCTATAGCGCCGCGCCGCCTTCCACGAAGTAGCCCAGTTTCCGCGATCGCGAGCCTCGTTAAGTCCACAAAAAAACGCCCTCTCCGCGACGCCGGCTGCGATCGGCGCGCTTTGAATGGCCTCGATGACGATATCGCGGAGCGCCGTCCGATGGTCCGTCGCGCCGCTGCTAACTCCGTCGCGATCAAGTGTCGCTTTTTCGTGTACATCGCAAACGAGCCTTGTTCCGTTCGTTGCACCGCTATTAGCACATCCTTCTGAAGGCCAATGGCGTGGAGCCTCCCAGTTTCTTGGCGATCCCATTGGCACCACCTCGTTCGTATCTGCTGTACGGCGTAACGCGGTATGATGCTTTGGGGTATGACACGGTATGGCATTATGGGGTGCGGCGCTATGGGGTATGGTGGCTACGTCGGATGGGGTATTGCACTATAAGGTATGATGCTATGGGATACGGAAGCATGGGGTGCGACGATCTATGCAGCATGAAACTATGCGGTACACTTTACGATATGAGCAATGCTGTACCGGTGGTCAAATCCTTCTGCCTGGGCATGGCTTATCTGTTGGCTTGCCTACGTGCGTGTGGCTTGAATGGCGCAGATTGATGCGATTGCACTGGAGGCGATTAAGGTTCCATCCAATCCAACCTTTGGAACAAGGCGCTGGTTTAACTGCATGTTTTTTAGTCGACTCAAAAACACGCTGTAGGATTCAACTCTCTTTAACAGCATCGGATGACGGTGTTGCCGTGTTGGACGAGCGCCTTGTTTTCCTCCCATCCGTGATTGCTCTTCCCATTCTCAACCCCCTCCCTCCCATAGCTCATGCTTTTACATCCATGCGCTTCTCCTCGTTTGTCATGCACCCCTGTGCACCCCTACACACACCTCTGCAACCCTACGCATCCCTGTGCTCCTGAATGCGCCCCTGTGCTAGCATGCGCGTGCCTCACATTGTTCCTTTTTCCCCTCTGTGCTCCCTTTGCTCCTTCGGTTCCATTGCAGGGGTGGGGCAGCCCGCTCACCCCCACCACCCAGAGAAGCACTCCTTCCTACGCACCCTTCTGCACCCTTGTGTTTCCCTTTGCATCTCAGCCCACCCCATTGATTGCCTGTGAACACCTGTCGTTGCTCCTCCCTCCCCTTGTTCCTTAATTCCATTGCAGGGGTGGGACAGCTCACTCACTTCTACCAGCCAGAGAAGCACTCGAATCCTCCCCAAAACAGAGGCAGCTGGCTGGACCAGAAAAGGAGGCAAGTCAGCAGGGGGCAGTGGTGGGAAGGCAGCCAAGCCAAAGCCTAAGTCCTGGAAAGAACGGCACGAGAAATTTGTGAAGCCGTTTATTCTCGATGTGTACATTTCCAAGCGTTACGTGAGCGCGAAAGTGATGCATAGGGTTACCAGCCGGGTGGTTTCGGTGGCGACTACGAGTGCGAAGGATTTGAGGATGTCTCTTCCGTCTTTAGTGGATGAGAATGCGTGCCGGGTGATTGGGAGGTTGATAGCGGAGAGGTCCAAGGATGTAGATGTGTTTGCAGTGGTGTTTAGATTGAAGAAAGGGCAGAAGTATGAAGGGAAGTTAGCTACTGTTGTTGATACAATGGTGGATGAAGGTGGCATTATGCTACTGTAGCCATTTCCCTTTGCTGAAGTGTTTTTATATTGAGCAATGCATTTTGATGGTCCAACTGAGGTGGGTAACGCTTTGTCAGGTGAGGGTGGCAACGCAATTCGATGGGTGGTTGTGTTATTAGATACGAAGAGAAGTGAGAAGGGATGGATAGTGGTGGTGGCTGAAGCTTGGGAACCAAACAGACTAATGTGTGTTGCTGAACTGAGTTTTACAAGGAATATGCATCCATGTAGCCGCATTACCCGCGCTAATTGGCTGACTCATGAAGATCTCGGGCCAATTCATATGGTGGTGTAACTGCATGGGCAACCAGTCACGACACGAGCAAATGGCGTGTAACAGCGTGACATCTGTGCACTAGCGCTTCGTTGGCGACTTCGTTAGACAAAATGAACGAAATGAGTTCGCGAACACACCACACACAAACAGAGGTCATCATACATACGGTTCGCTGGGTTGTGATACGATCAAGTGCATTCCACTGCGACTGAGAGGTTTTGTGTGCGTTAATTGACGATGGAATTCCAACTGACCTCGGACGATGGAAGCCCAGCATAATTATGCCTGGCATTTCCCAAGCAGCTCCCCTCATGGTGAAAGGAGGAACACAAGCCTCTGCTTGGTGAATGTGGGATCCCGTTTTTGCTGTCCCTCACTCTTCTCTTCCTCATCGCCTTCATCCTCGCTTAGGGAGCTTGAAGCAGCGAGAAAATTTCTCCCAACGTGTGCCGTCTTCCTCGAATCAATTTCCTGGCGCTCCCGTTCCCATGGCTCGTTGCGCGCCTCAGCCAGCTCCACTCGTCGCGTCGTACCGCCGTCTGCTTCTAGCGTTCGTGTCGCTCCTCGCTCTGCTCCCCGCGGATCGCATCGGGTGCGACGCGTGGGGCCACGACGGCCACGCGTTCACCTGCGCCATTGCTCAGGTGCGTATGCTTCTTATGTACATTAATTAGTTTAGGTAGAGTACGTAACTACTCCGCATTAGGTTACGTGAGGCCACGACGGCCACGCGTTCACGTGCGCCGTTGCTCAGGTAGGGTTTCGCAGTCCCCTGATGCACTTTAGGCAGCTTAGGTGCCTTGGATAGCTTAAAGAGCTTATAGAACAAGAACATACGTAGATACTAATATTTTTCTTGCTTAGAAGGCACTACAGGATGGAAGGCACGGTATTCGCGAATGCGTGGCCGGCCTGTGACAGGAATGCGTGGCTCATTAACCTGTAACAATACCTTGTTTTCGCCTTTGAGGAAATACAAAAAATGCTAGGGCCAGTAACCTGCTATGGTCATTGGCGCTGCTTCTACGGCCAGAAGCAGCCTCCCTGCCGTGTGCTGGCGGGAATTTCTCTGTCTCTGCCTTCCCATGTTCTCCCTCCCTATGCAGGCTCTTCTTACCGACGAGGCAGCAGCAGCAGTGGCGGCGCTGTTGCCACCCATCGCCCAGGGAAGCCTTCCTGCCGTGTGCTCATGGGCTGACGTCATTCGGCACACCAAGGGGTGGGCCTGGTCCACCCCTCTGCACTTCATTGATACCCCTGACTTCGCATGCTCCTACGATGAACGCCGTGAGTTGGTCTGACTTGGTATGGTGTGGTATGGTTCGGTATGGTGCGGTATGGTGTGGTATCCAAGCAAGCCATTCGGCACACCAAGGGGTGGGCCTGGTCCACTCCACTCCCCTTCACTTCGCTGGTACCCCTGACTTCGCATGCTCCTATGATGAACGCCGTGAGTTGGGTGATTGGGTATGGTCCGGCACAGTACGTTACAGTACGGTACCCCAAGAGAGCCATCGGCACACCAAGGGGTGGGCCACTCCTGACTTCGCATGCTCCTATGATGAACGTCGTGAGTTGGGGGATTCGGTACAGTGCGGTACATTATGGTACAGTATGGTACCCGACACAAGCCATTCGCCACACCAAGGGGTGGGCCTGATCGACCCCTCTGCACTTCATTGATACCCCTGACTTCGCATGCTCCTGAGCTGGTGCCATCGGCACACCGAAGGGTGAGCGAGTGTGCATTTGCCCATAAGTTTTCGCGTTGCCAACACTATCACCACCCACTCTCTCCACTTCCTCATCACATCACCTACTCCCCCATGCTTCTTTGTCCACCTTCACCCATCACCCCGGTGTCTGTGTTGCCAGCGCTATCATCAACCATACCACACCTCACAGCTCATAACCTATTCCTCCATTCCCCTTGTCTTGTCTCCCTCGCCCACTGTCACTGCTACCTCCCCAGGAGATTGCGCCTTCGCCCATCAACCAGGTGTGTGTGTTGCCAACGCAATCATCAACTACACATCCCAGCTCCTCACCTACTCACCCCACCAGCAATCCTCCCAGATCCAATCCCCTTCCCGCCACCCCCTCCCCCCATCCTCCCCCCAATCCGCTACTCCCATCAAGGCTGCCGTTTTCCCCACCTCCCCTCACTGGCGCAGCCTCCTCAGGGGGTTAGATGTGGGGCAAGCTGGGGTGCTGGGGGGGGTTGAGGAGCAGGGAGAAGGGGAAGAAGAAGAAGAAAGGGAAGAGGAGATGGTGCGGGTGGTAAAGAGAGTGGTACGAGACGGTGTGAGGGATGCGTCCCATGCCTCTCTTTTTGCTGCTCCTGTTGGTGACACTGCCGCTTCTGCTGGTGCTGCAGCCACTGCTGCTGGTGGTGCTGCTAGTGAGCAGCGAGCAGCACTGGGTGCGGGGTCCATAAGAGGCTATAACCTCACAGAGGCTCTCATGTTCCTGGCGCACTTTGCAGGGGATATTCACCAGGTGAGGGTGGTAGATGTGCACACAAACGCAAAGAGCCAAGGAGCAACGGAGCAAACTGACAGAGGTGCTTATATTCCTTTATCAAGAGAGGCATGATTGATCACTTACATTCTTTTACCCCTCACCTCTACTCTGACGTCATTCCATCTTCTATCCCATCCACTACATGTCGATGTCACGTGTTTGTCACAAAATTTGTTTAGCAGGTTTTTCTCCTCCCCCTATGCCTCTATCTACTCACCACCTTCGTATCCCCCTGCTTCAGCCACTACACGTGGGCTTCACATCAGATCTGGGCGGCAACAGGGTGCATGTGACATGGTTCAAGAGGCAGACGAACTTGCATGCGGTACGTCTGTCCACCATTTCATGCCGTGCATGCGATAATCCCGCCCTGCCATGGCATGACTGTCGAGACAGCTCTCAAGTCAACAGGGTGCATGTGACATGGTTCAAGAGGTAGGCCAACCTGCATGTGGTATATCTGTCTGCCATCCTCTGCCATGAACCACCCTGCTGCATTTCATTGCCCCTCATGCCTTCAGGGTCCTTCACCCTTCCCCACCCCTCTCTACCCCTCTCTATCCCTCTCCAACGCTCTCTACCGCTCTCAACTCCAGATTTGGGACGACTACCTTATAGTCTCAGTCATAAACCTTCACTACAATGGAAGCCTCACTACCATGCAATACCACATCGCCCCTCATGCCCTCGATGTCTTTCACCCAAACATTCTCCACCCCTTTTACCCCTCTCCGCCCCGTTCCACCGCTCTCCACCCCACTCCACCGCTCTCCACCCCACTCCGCCGCTCTCCACCATTCCCTACATCAGGTGTGGGACGACTTCATCATAGCCTCAGCCATCCACCTGCGCTACAACAGCAGCAGCACCGCCATGCTGCATCACATCACCCACCAACTCTCTACTGACTGGCGCCCCCTCGTTCCTATTTGGGTCTCCTGCCCTGGAGACATCGCTTCTGCTGCTGCTGCTGCTGTTGCTGCTGGTACTCCTGGTGCTGCTGCTGCTGTGGAAGCACCATTGACCATTTCTCCTGCTCAAGCTGCTGCATGCCCAGCTGTGTGAGTGCCTCTTCTTTCCCTGCATCCTCGCCTTTGACTGGCGCCTGCTCACTCCACCCGTCCAGCTTCCCAGCTGTGTATCTCCTTGCATCTGCTCGCATCTCCTTGCACCTCCTTCCATCTCCTTGCATGTCCTCGCATCCCTTTACGTATCCTCGCATCACGTCTTACCATCAGATACGCCATGGAGAGTGCAAAGGACGCATGCAAGTGGGCCTATCGCAATGCGACACCTGGAGCCGTGCTTGGAGGTGCGTCGTAGTGCAAAGGGTCGTGCCGTGCAGTACGTCAAAACTGTAGAGTTTCAGGTAGTGATGTTGGCCACCGGTGATTTTTATTCGCTTTGTTCCTGCGCTTTCTGCTTCAAGGAGTGCAAAAATATTATGCAACTGTGTTGCTTCCCCACTTCCTCATACCATGCCTATGTCTCCTCTGCCCTTCCTTGCCCACCCCTCCCATCCGTTTCAACCAACCTCCACCACACTGCACCATTCGCTTCTCCGTTGAACTCCCTCCAAAGACGAGTATTTCATGTCTCGCCTGCCTATTGTGGAGATGCGTATTGCCATGGGTGGGGTGCGCCTTGCCCGCATTCTCAACCACATCTTTGCTCCTGTTAGGGCTGTACAGTAAAAATGTAGTGATCGCAGCATATTTAGATATTTGTAGTGTAAGCAGTTAATCGCCATGTGTAGATGCATACATAGTATGAGAGTTGGTAACAAGAGGTGCACTAACAACCAAGTGTGGCTCATTGAGGCTTCTTGCGATCAAGTGTGTTCCATTGGGATTCAGAACTTTTGAATTCGGTACTTGCCGAACGAAATTGCCGTTCAATGCCAACAGCGGCAGCTTGATCGCGCATCGGTAGGTTTCGCAAAGCGTGGCACATCACAGCGACGACATGCATAGCACTGTCGGATGAGTTAGGAGTTTCTTTTCTTTCATCACTCTCCTTCAGGAATCACGACGCGTCACCTATTTCCGCGATCGGTCGTGCGAAACCGAACGTCCACCGCACTGAAATATAGCTTATTGCATTCAAACAGTTTAGAACCCCGTTGAAATTCGAGGATCGATCGCCAAAATGAGCCAGAGGCGACGCATCCTCACTCCTCTCCACTTTTCCTCCGCCGTCGTTTCGCTCTCTCTTATTACGCTTGTAACGAAGCTTCGATCATTTATCGCCCGGCGTGCGACGCCTTCCTCGAAGCATCTCCCAGCGTTCCCGTTCCCCCATGGCGCATGGCGTCATTCAAGCCGGCGCTCATCGCGGCCCGTCGCTCCCCCGCTTGTTTCTAACGTTCGTGTCGCTCCTCGCTCTGCTCCCCGCGGCTTGCTTCGGGTGCCACGCGTGGGGCCACGTCGGCCACGCGTTCACCTGCGCCATCGCTCAAGTACGGTTTTTTATGTTTCCTATGTACCTTATTCAGTTTATGTAGCCTAGGGAACTCCGTGAGGCCGCAATAGGTTACGTGGGGCCACGTCGGCCGCATTCACGTGCGTCATTGCTCAGGTAAGTCGTGTTAAGTAGCTTAGCTAATTAAGTTTGGTTTTATAACTATGGTTTGAGGCAGCACGAGGATTCGTGGGCCACGTCGGCCACTCGTTCACGAGCGCCATCGTTCCGTATGTACCTTAGGCAGCTTAGGTACTTCCGTGGTACCTTATGTACCCAAACCCCCCTCCCTCCGTCACTACCCAGGCCTTACTGACGGACGAGGCAGCAGCAGCAGTGGCGGCGCTGCCGCCCCCCATCGCTAAGGCCAGCCTCCCTGCAGTGTGCTAGTGGGCACATCAGGCCTCAGCCTTCTGTTATTCTCTCCTCCAACCCCCTTTCCTCCCCTCCCGTATCCAGGCCTTATTGACGGACGAGGCAGCAGAAGCAGTGGCGGCGCTGCTGCCCCCCATCGCCCAGGGAACCCTCCCTCGCTCCCTGCAGTATTCACGTGGTCAAATCAGGCCCTCGCCTTCACGTGTTCCCAAACCCGATCCCCTCCCTCCCGATCCAGGCGTTGCTGACCGATGAGGCAGCAGCAGCAGTGGCGGCGCTGCTTCCCCCCATAGCCCAGGGAAGCCTGTTCGTGGGCTGACGACATTTTGCACATGAAGGGGTGGGAATGGTCCATGCCTCTGCACTTCGCTGGTACCCCTGACTTCGCCTGCTCCTATGATGAACGCCGTGAGTTGGTCTGACTGGGTACGATGTGGTAGAGTGTGGTACGGTATGGTATGGTAATCAAGCAAGACCTTCACATCCCAGCTCCTCACCTCACTTGCTTCTCCATGCCTATCTGTCCACCCTTTCTCCCCTCCAGGCGATTACACCTTCTCTGTCACCGTGGTGTGTGTGTGACCAATGCCATTACCAACCAACCACAAATCCCACCTCCTTGCGTCACCTACTCTTCCACGCCTCGTTCCTTCCCTCATTCCCCCTCTCCAGGCGATTGCACCCTTGTGCGTGATTTTTGAGGATTCTCAAAAATCGCCCATCAACCCGGTGTGTGTGTTGCAAAGGCGGTCATCAACCACACCCCCTAACTCCCCTCCTCACCTACTCCCCCATGCCTCTCTGTCCACCCTTTCTCCCCTCTAGGCGATTGCACCTTTGCCGAACACCCCGGTGTGTGTGTTGCCAACGCTATAACCAACTACACCTCCCAGCTCCTCACCTACTCACCCCGCCATCCATCTTCCCAGCCCGAATCCTCTCTCCGCCACTCTTTCATACCATCCTTCTCGGAATCTGCTACTCCTCTCGAGCTTCATATTTTCCCCACTACCCCTCACCGGCGCAGCCTCCTCAGGGGGGTAAATGAGGCAAAATCTGGGGTGCTGGGCCGGGGTGAGGAGGGGGGAGAGGGAGAGAAGAGAGAAGGGGAGGAGGGGGACGGGGAAGGTGAGATGGTGCGGGAGGTAAAGAGAGTGGTACGGGACGGTACGAGGAGTGCTGCTGCCCATGCTTCTCTTTTCGCTCCCACGGCTGCTGCTACGGCTGCTTCTGCCTCATCTGCTCGTCCTCCTGCCAGTGAGCAGCGAGCAGTGCTGGATGGGGGATCAATTGGAGGTCACAACCTGACAGAGGCACTCATGTTCCTGGCGCACTTTGCAGGGGACATTCACCAGGTGATGGTCACAGCAGTGCACACTTATGGAAAGGGCAACGAGCGGCAGGTGTGTGGGTTTACTTAGTTAAAGCTACAACCTAACAGACGCGCTCATGTTCCTCGCGCACTTTGCAGGGGATGTGCAGCAGGTGAGGTGGGTGGTGGTGTGCATGTCTGCAAAGCGCAAAGGGTGGCAACAGGATGTGATGTGCATGTTTAAATCCTGGAAACCCCCTGTTCCGCCACCCATGAGGTCACTTTTGAACTGTCTCAAAATAACCCCCTGATTTTCCCACCCATGCCTCCATTCATCTGCTACATAACCCCAGCTTCAGCCGCTGCATGTGGGCTTCACATATTCTGATCTGGGCGGCAACAGGGTGCATGTCTCCCTCTCTCTCTCTCCCCCCCCCCCCCCTCCCCCCCACCCCCCCCCCCCGTGCCTCCACCCATCTGCCCCATACCCCGCTGGTGCAACCGCTGCATGTGGGACTCACATCAGATCTGGGCGGCAACAGGGTGCATGCATTTTTCCCCCACTCCCCCCATCCAACTCCCCGCGGCCACCCCTCATGCCTCCGTCCGTCTATTCCATATCCCCCTGCTTCAGCCACTGCATTTGGGCTTCACATCAGATTTCGGTGGCAACAGGGTGCACGTGACATGGTTCAAGAGGAAGACCAACCTACATTTGGTATGTCCGCTGTGCCACGTCATGCAGGAGATATGCCCGCCCTGCCATGGCATGCCATACCATCCACTCCCATTCATGCCAGGTGTGGGACGAATTCTATCATCGCCTCTGCCATTTAACTGTGCAACAAACAACGGCAACCTTTCTTTGAGGCGTCTAAAAAACAACGGCAACCTTTCTTTGAGGCGCCTCAAAAACAACGGCAGCCTTTTTTTGAGGCGCCCCAAAAGCAACGGCAGCCTCACCACCTATGATGGATTATACGCGTTTAGCGTATATACGCGTGTCGTATATACACTACCGTATATACGCTATCCGCTAAGGGGCTGGTTTGGACATACGCTATTTCGGGCAGGGGAAAAACTTTCCCGGGCAGGGTTAAAAAATGCCGTGCTCAACATCGGGAAGGTATTCTATATTCCCACTAAGAATTTCGTAGCATTCTCCTAAGTCTGAACTGCTATTAGGGTGGGATGCGTAGTAGACACTAATCGGGATGAGCTCTGTTGGGAAGCGGGAAAGCAAACTAGTGGAAATGTGGAGTGGGGTTTGTTGGGGGGACATTTTTGACAGGTTGGAGTTCGTAGATGGGATGGGTTTCAATGCGGTACTAATCCAAATTGTAGATCTAAACTGCCAAACGCGATTGTAAGGCACATTCCCGCTTCCCTAGACCCCCGAATTGCATCTCGACTATGGCGAAATGCTCACCAGGAGATTCCGCATCTTTCCGTATACACACAATTCTTTTCCCGGGCAGCCCCTAAAAAAATCTGAAAGCGTATAGCGTATTAGCTAGCGTATAGCGTTTTGCATTTGAACGCAAGCGTACATACGCTAAACGCTTTAGGGTCTGAGCGTATATTCCAACTTAGCTCACCACTATGCTGCATCACATCGCCCACCAACCCCCATGACCTGGGGCCCTTCACCTTCCCAACCCTCCCAACCCGTCTCCACACCTCTTAACCTCTCTCAACCGCTCTCCACAGCTCTCCACTCCCCCACGTCCCACAAATTCTACCATCGCCTCTGCCGTTTACCTGCACTACAACGGCAGCCTTCTTTGAGGCGCATAAAAAACAACGCCAGCTTTTTTTTTAGGCGCCTCAAAAGCAACGGCTACCTTCTTTTGAGGCGCCCCAAAAACAACGGCAACCTCACCACTATGCTGCATCACATCGCCCACCAACCCCCATGACCTGGAACCGTTCCCCTCTCCCTTTCCACCGCTCTCCACTCCTCCACATCCCTCCAGGTGTGGGATGACTACATCATAGCCACGGCCATCCACCTGCGTTACAACGGCAGCCTCACCGCTATGCTGCAACACATCACCTCTCGTGCCCTCGATGTCTTTCACACCCCAACCCTTCTCCACCCCTTCAACCCCTCTCCACCCTGCTCCACCGCTCTCCACGCCCGCTACACCAGGTGTGGGACAGCTACATAATCGCCTCAGCCATTCACCTGCGCTACAACGGCAGCAGCACGGCCATGCTGCATCACATCGCCCACCAACTCTCTACTGACTGGCATCCCCTCATTCTTGAGGAAGCCGTTTCCATCCCTCTCCACCCTTCTCCACCGCTTTACATCAGGTGTGGGACAGCCTTATCATAGCCTCGGCCATCCACCTGCGCTACAACGGCAGCAGCACCGCCATGCTGCATCACATCGCCCACCAACTCTCTACTGACTGGCATCCCCTCATTCTTGAGGAAGCCGTTTCCATCCCTCTCCACCCTTCTCCACCGCTTTACATCAGGTGTGGGACAGCCTTATCATAGCCTCGGCCATCCACCTGCGCTACAACGGCAGCAGCACCGCCATGCTGCATCACATCGCCCACCAACTCTCTACTGACTGGCATCCCCTCATTCTTGAGGAAGCCGTTTCCATCCCTCTCCACCCTTCTCCACCGCTTTACATCAGGTGTGGGACAGCCTTATCATAGCCTCGGCCATCCACCTGCGCTACAACGGCAGCAGCACCGCCATGCTGCATCACATCGCCCACCAACTCTCTACTGACTGGCATCCCCTCATTCTTGAGGAAGCCGTTTCCATCCCTCTCCACCCTTCTCCACCGCTTTACATCAGGTGTGGGACAGCCTTATCATAGCCTCGGCCATCCACCTGCGGTACAACGGCAGCAGCACCGCCATGCTGCATCACATCGCCCGCCAACTCTCTACTGACTGGCATCCCCTCATTCTTGAGGAAGCCGTTTCCATCCCTCTCCACCCTTCTCCACCGCTTTACATCAGGTGTGGGACAGCCTTATCATAGCCTCGGCCATCCACCTGCGCTACAACGGCAGCAGCACCGCCATGCTGCATCACATCGCCCACCAACTCTCTACTGACTGGCATCCCCTCATTCTTGAGGAAGCCGTTTCCATCCCTCTCCACCCTTCTCCACCGCTTTACATCAGGTGTGGGACAGCCTTATCATAGCCTCGGCCATCCACCTGCGGTACAACGGCAGCAGCACCGCCATGCTGCATCACATCGCCCACCAACTCTCTACTGACTGGCATCCCCTCATTCTTGAGGAAGCCGTTTCCATCCCTCTCCACCCTTCTCCACCGCTTTACATCAGGTGTGGGACAGCCTTATCATAGCCTCGGCCATCCACCTGCGCTACAACGGCAGCAGCACCGCCATGCTGCATCACATCGCCCACCAACTCTCTACTGACTGGCATCCCCTCATTCTTGAGGAAGCCGTTTCCATCCCTCTCCACCCTTCTCCACCGCTTTACATCAGGTGTGGGACAGCCTTATCATAGCCTCGGCCATCCACCTGCGCTACAACGGCAGCAGCACCGCCATGCTGCATCACATCGCCCACCAACTCTCTACTGACTGGCATCCCCTCATTCTTGAGGAAGCCGTTTCCATCCCTCTCCACCCTTCTCCACCGCTTTACATCAGGTGTGGGACAGCCTTATCATAGCCTCGGCCATCCACCTGCGCTACAACGGCAGCAGCACCGCCATGCTGCATCACATCGCCCACCAACTCTCTACTGACTGGCATCCCCTCATTCTTGAGGAAGCCGTTTCCATCCCTCTCCACCCTTCTCCACCGCTTTACATCAGGTGTGGGACAGCCTTATCATAGCCTCGGCCATCCACCTGCGCTACAACGGCAGCAGCACCGCCATGCTGCATCACATCGCCCACCAACTCTCTACTGACTGGCATCCCCTCATTCTTGAGGAAGCCGTTTCCATCCCTCTCCACCCTTCTCCACCGCTTTACATCAGGTGTGGGACAGCCTTATCATAGCCTCGGCCATCCACCTGCGGTACAACGGCAGCAGCACCGCCATGCTGCATCACATCGCCCGCCAACTCTCTACTGACTGGCATCCCCTCATTCTTGAGGAAGCCGTTTCCATCCCTCTCCACCCTTCTCCACCGCTTTACATCAGGTGTGGGACAGCCTTATCATAGCCTCGGCCATCCACCTGCGCTACAACGGCAGCAGCACCGCCATGCTGCATCACATCGCCCACCAACTCTCTACTGACTGGCATCCCCTCATTCTTGAGGAAGCCGTTTCCATCCCTCTCCACCCTTCTCCACCGCTTTACATCAGGTGTGGGACAGCCTTATCATAGCCTCGGCCATCCACCTGCGGTACAACGGCAGCAGCACCGCCATGCTGCATCACATCGCCCACCAACTCTCTACTGACTGGCATCCCCTCATTCTTGAGGAAGCCGTTTCCATCCCTCTCCACCCTTCTCCACCGCTTTACATCAGGTGTGGGACAGCCTTATCATAGCCTCGGCCATCCACCTGCGCTACAACGGCAGCAGCACCGCCATGCTGCATCACATCGCCCACCAACTCTCTACTGACTGGCATCCCCTCATTCTTGAGGAAGCCGTTTCCATCCCTCTCCACCCTTCTCCACCGCTTTACATCAGGTGTGGGACAGCCTTATCATAGCCTCGGCCATCCACCTGCGCTACAACGGCAGCAGCACCGCCATGCTGCATCACATCGCCCACCAACTCTCTACTGACTGGCATCCCCTCATTCTTGAGGAAGCCGTTTCCATCCCTCTCCACCCTTCTCCACCGCTTTACATCAGGTGTGGGACAGCCTTATCATAGCCTCGGCCATCCACCTGCGCTACAACGGCAGCAGCACGGCCATGCTGCATCACATCGCCCACCAACTCTCTACTGACTGGCATCCCCTCATTCTTGAGGAAGCCGTTTCCATCCCTCTCCACCCTTCTCCACCGCTTTACATCAGGTGTGGGACAGCCTTATCATAGCCTCGGCCATCCACCTGCGCTACAACGGCAGCAGCACCGCCATGCTGCATCACATCGCCCACCAACTCTCTACTGACTGGCATCCCCTCATTCTTGAGGAAGCCGTTTCCATCCCTCTCCACCCTTCTCCACCGCTTTACATCAGGTGTGGGACAGCCTTATCATAGCCTCGGCCATCCACCTGCGCTACAACGGCAGCAGCACCGCCATGCTGCATCACATCGCCCACCAACTCTCTACTGACTGGCATCCCCTCATTCTTGAGGAAGCCGTTTCCATCCCTCTCCACCCTTCTCCACCGCTTTACATCAGGTGTGGGACAGCCTTATCATAGCCTCGGCCATCCACCTGCGCTACAACGGCAGCAGCACCGCCATGCTGCATCACATCGCCCACCAACTCGCCTCCGACTGGCGCCCCCTCATCCCTGCCTGGGCCTCCTGCCCTGGAGACGTTTTTTCTCATGCTGCTGCTGCTGCTGCTGCTGCTGCTGCTGCTGCTGCTGCTGCTGCTGCTGCTGCTGCTGCTGCTGCTAGTGTTTCTTGTGCTTCTGATGATGCTGAAGTCTCATCGCATCTTTCTCCTGCTCAGGCTGCTGCCTGTCCAGCCGTGTAAGTGTCTCTTCCCTCCACACACTCGCCTCTGACTGGCGCCCCCTCGCTCCACCCGTCCAGATGCCCAGCAGTGGTTCTCATCGCATCTATTCGCATCCCCTTGCACCTCATCTCCCAATCAGATATGCCGTGGAGAGTGCAAAGGACGCATGCAAGTGGGCCTATCGCAACGCGACACCTGGAGCCGTGCTTGGAGGTGCACCTTTGTGCCTTTTTTGTATGCAAAGTGCCTTCACGAAGAAAAAAGCCATTGCATGTCAGGCACAGACGTTGCTCGTGCGTGAAATTCCGCTCATTATTTCCTGGGCTCGTTCAGGAGATGCAAAAAGCATATAGTTTTGCTTCCCCACGCCATATCTGTCTTATTGCCCTTTTTCTTGTCTGTATGCTGTTCGATTCAACAAGGCTCTTACTTTCGCAATAACCTTTCCCCACCAACCATCTGCACTCAGCATTGCCTGCTCTTTCCATCCACCCTCCTTCCCATCCTTGTCAACCATTTTCACCGCACTGCACCGTTTGCTCTATCAAACTCCACAGATGAGTATTTCAAGTCTCGCCTGCCAATTGTGGAGGTTCGCATTGCCATGGGTGGGGTGCGCCTGGCCCGTATTCTCAACCACATATTTGCTCCGCTCCGCTTAGGGCTGAGCGGTAAAACGCAGTGATGTAGAATTTTGTACGGTAAACAGTTTTCGATGGAAGGGTGCAACGATAAAATGACGCACTTCATTTGTAATTGTCCTGCACTACAAGCATCTGAAGCAGAGGTTACATAAAGAAATATCAAGGGTGCACCAACAACCTACAATGCTATCAGGTACACCAGGGGGCTTTGCTAAGATATTAGGCATCCTAACAACATCCCTCTCTCCCTGCCACGCCAGCCACTAACTGAAAATATCAAGACAAAGTAACCTGATATTGGGTGGTGTTATCCGAGGAGAGAAGCTTGGTACAGTTGCACGGAAGCTCTGGGCCTGGGGCACAGGGAGGAATCAATCGTGGAATCATACCGTAGAGAAGAAATTGGGTTGTTGAAATGGGTTTTACAAGGAATCCATTTCTCTATAAAGCTGCATTACACTGGACCCTGCAGTTCCGTCAATTTGCTGCGTAACTGCACAGGTATAGGTTACGACACGAGAATAGCGAAAGAATGTAACCGCGTGTTGTGAGCACGAGCGCTTCGCTGGCGAGTCTCTGGACATTCGCGGGCGATCTGCGAGACAAGGTATACGAGATGTGGTAACATGGGACGGATGAACAAATTCTTAGCCGAATACTACGGTTCAGTGAGGGTTGTTGCGATCAAGTGTGCTCAGATGGGATTCCAAGCGTTTGAATTCGGTGCTTGTCGAAACGAAATTGCCAGTCAACGCAAATCGCAGCCCAGCAGCAGTTTCATCCTGGCCACATATACCCCAAGCATGCCGGAACGCAGCCATAACACAGACAGCTTCGTTTAGGGCGCGTGTGTTCCGTCAAAATTGACAAAGTTCATGTTTTTGGGGCGCTAATCTTTTTGAACTTAAGTCGAATGGAATTCGACTTTCCTTGTAGCTAATTTCGAACATTGCGGGAATAACACTGCATGACGCAATCACACACGGAAGTTCGAACACCAGGATTCGAACATTTATGTTACTCGGTACATGTTTTGTCGTCAATTTCGCGTATTTTCGCTCGTGCCGAAAACACACACGCTCGCTTCGACTTGTACAAGCACTTCCATCTATTTGATTCGAGTCGAGTTCACATTTGAAATTCGCACTTATGTGCGCCCAACATTTTTATGCATTCGCGAACGGGCGTCAACGACATTCACAAAACGGGTAGTTAGCAAAAGTTCGAACTTGTTTTCGAACTTCAGAATAGATCACACGCGCCCTTATCTCGTTGGTGCGTGAAATTCGCGCAACCATCGCGAATATTTATCCCTGGCTCTATCGATTTTGCCCGATCATGGCTAGGCTGGCCTAGTAGGGCCCTAACCACACTCCAGGAGCGGACGGCATATGACGTTGGGCGGCATTTTCCCACTTTCCCTACTGCTTCCTATACAACCATCGCGAAATGTCTAGTGGGTTTTCGTCAGCTCTACGTACAGTACTCACATCCTACGTAGGACGAGCCAGTGGGTTGAGCCGACACCACGAAGTCTCCCAGCTGCTTGACTTGCGTATGCGATAGGCAATCTCATACTGTAGTCCCATTTTAAAAAGAGTTCGACGAAGTCTCTACCCCCAGGATCCAGCAGGTTCTCCTAGGGAGGGATACATCAGGTTCCGGTCACCTGCGTTTGATGTAGAGGCGTATTCTCTACTTTGCAGGAACTGGGAGTTGTTCTAAACGATAGAGCTCTGTCTTAGCTTTCCAACGAGCCGTCACACACGTCGATCGCCTAAGTATACGCCGAGATATAGGCATTCACGTGTTGAGTGGTGCTCTTGAATGCAACTATAGAAGCTCTCTGGAATTTGTGTTCTAATGTACCTTGTACAAAGTGTTGGATGCACGTCATTCTGAGTGCATGTCATCCTAACGTCCTGCCGAGTGCTCGTGCTATTCATGCGTGCATTGTGTGCATGAGCATAACTCATTATGCATGGCTGTTGGATTTTATCATCTCTGTGTTTTTCTCCAAGTCTACATGCTTTACAGGTGTTTCGGCTTATAGTCCGACGGGTTGAGCCGAAGCGCGTGGACTGTATGCCGAAATTTTCAAACCCCAGGCAAAACGCGATATTTATAGTCCCGTTCAGACAATTTACATGAATAGTGGTTTGTTTGCTAAAATGTTTGGTTTTTGGTCTTTTTCTTAAATTTGGACCGCGCTGGCTTCAACTTCTTGTCACACGCTTCCACGCGCTGATCAATTTCGCATGACCAACGGGAAAAAAAAAACAAAATAAACTATGGTTTGGGGGTCGATTAGAAGGTAAAAACTTCTGTTTTACCCTGTAAACGAGATAAACGTGATGTCATCGTCGAGCGCGCTGGAGACCGCGCAACAGGATTGAGAAGTGATCACGGTCAAGAAAAACAATTACTTAGAATTTGGAGGTTAAATGTCGAATCGATGATCCCTTATCTATAATTTTCTCCGGATGTTGGGATGGTTCAATTTGGAGCCTCTGATTGGCTGCGGAGCTGATTCGTGCAATGATTCGGTCAAGCCTCAAAATTTCCCACCAAAGATGGGACTATAGGGGTCGGGACAACCCTAGGCAATATCGGAAAATTCTACTCAAGATGGAAAATGGACTCATCTAGCAATGGCCTTTAACCCGGAACACCTGTATCATGCAGGAGAAATCCAGAGCTTTCCAACGATACCAAGATCGCCTTATTCCGACCAAGATCGCCCAAGTTACAAGATTTCCAAGATTTGGATTTCTTATTACCTCTTTGGGGTTATATCTAATTTGGGCGGTTATTGGGACATGACTATAAAGGGATCTTTGGTTGGGTGGTTAGGAAGGCAACTTTGACTTTTGGATTGGGGTGGCTAGAAGTTTCTAGCATGGGTTGCAAATGTTGCAACACCTAGGCAAAATCCAACTAGATTGGATTTTGCATGTGACACCTCAAGGACCTCATGATGAGGGTTGCATCCTTGCTGCTAGGAAGGTTCCTACTATCCTTCCCTAGCTCTTGGAGAACCCCTTCCCTCTCATGGTTCTCTTGGAGGTCCCCAACTCCAACTTTCTATGCTTCATGCTTGTACTTCCTCCACCACTCTAGTCATGCAGCAGCTGGACGTTTTCATATGGTTCTCACTCTCTAGACCATCTTTCTAAGTGATTCAAATTGGAGATGGTAGCTAAGCCTAAGGCGCAACATCCTACCGAGCGGATTTGCGTTTAGTTGAGAAATGAGTTCGTCGTAGCTTCTCGAGGTGACGGATCCTGGCCAACAAGTGGTATCAGAGCGGGTAGTCGACTTTGAGACGACGAATCGTCGCGAATTCTCAACCAATGTTGACGAATGAGACCATTTTCTAGTAGCCCTGCTCGCAACATTTCGATTGGTGGTCGAACCGCGTTCTAATTCGAAGTACTCAGTCCGCAACGGTGATTTTCGTAGAATCGAAATTTCTGGCAGAATTCTCTCCAAACGATTTCTCAAGTTTCCACCGTTCATAAGGCCTCAATATGGTTGGTACGAACTCCGGAGGTGCTAGTGGCGAGATGGATAGAAGTAGAGAGGCTGGAGAGCAAGGGGGAGTTGCTGGTGGTGGAGTGGGGACTCACCAACCAGCCAACCCTACGCTACCTACTTCTACTACACCATCTCCGACAACCGTGGATCCCGTGAAAGCGTTCTCGATTGAGAAATTCATGGGGGAGGACTACGAGCACTGGAGCTTCCGCATGAGGCTGATGTACACCCAATACAAGCTATTGGACCTGGTGGAGGGGAAGGAGAAGATGCCGGAGGCCGCGGAGCTGAAAGGAGCGTGGATGAAGCGATCGTTCGACGCGTACATGCTCATGGTGCAAGCGGTTGGCGGACGACAGCTTGACCACATCAAGGACCTCTTGGGTGATCCAGAGTGTGGCCCCAAGGCTTGGAGGAAGCTTCTGGATGTGCACTCACCGACACACGCTACCGGCATCGTGCTACTCGCGCGGCGGCTGCGCGACATCAAGTTCGTTGATGGAGAGCCGATGCAACCGGTGTTGGACGAGATGCGCGACATCTTCACGAAGCTCCAAGGCGGCGGTGTGGTGTACCCGGAGCTCGTGCAGTGCGTGGAGATCGTGATACGGCTGCCGGAGTCGTGGTCTGCCCTTGCGATCAACCTCAACTCTCAACAGCCCCAGTGGAGCGTGGATTACATTCGCGCGCGCATCCTAGAGGAGGACTTGCGGCGGCGGAGTGTGGAGCGCTCGGAGGAGGGGGCTGGCTATGGAGTTGGAGGTGGGAAGAGTGGCTTCAAGAAGAAATGGAAGAGCAAAAATAAAGACAACATGAAGGAGGATGGCGGCGGGGGTC